GTTTATACAATGTTGGCCTTATATCCCCAGTAGCACAAAATATTGGGCCAATATGTTAACTACATTACTAAAATATTGTTTATTGGCCCAATATTGGCAATCTTTAGCCAATATTGGTAATTTATTGGCATTACCAACTTCGCATTTATTTGATTTTAATATTAACCTAATATTGGGTCAATGTTTATGAAACATGTTACTGAGAAAAAAGCTTTCTATATGTGCTTACATTTCATTCAATTATGGAGTAAAATCTTACCAAGTTCAAACTAAAAACATAGATTCTCTTTTTAACAATTAAACGACATTATATATAATGTCCTATTTTCTAATATTGGACCTATATTGGGTATATATTGTGTAGGGAAAATTCTGTAGTACTGACAACACTTGTACAAAGCCAACACATGCTGCGCGCGCTCGCCGCGAATTCACGCATACCAACAATCGGGTGGAAGTGTCAAACACCGTGTTTGACACTTCCATCCGGTTGTTTGAAACACGTGTAAAAGTTTTTCTTCGTGATATCTATACCTATTTATCGATTGCAAATTAAGAAAATTTGTATCCTGTGCAAAGTAAATGTAAGTACCTATCCATGAATACCTAACCATGAATATCCAGAAACTGCACTTGATGGAAGAAAAAAATGCTGAAATGCCGGTAAGAATTATGTTAAAAGTTCGATACAAATTATCACGTTGTTTATTATAGGGTCACCGATTGTACCTTTGTGGTGGGGACACATTTTCTAATAATGAATAAACTTTTATCAATGGAAGTGGCTGTATTTAGGGACTGAAAAAAAAGGAAAGCTATCCTTTCGAAAATTATCTTGTCATTTGGCTGTAATAAGTAAGTTTTTTTTAATTTTTGCAAAGTAAATTATTATTTATTTTTCTTTATAGAAGCTATCCGTAAACGCTTCCCAACTTCAGAACTAAACAATTCCATATCCCTGTATTTGGCGGGGCGTCAGATAGAGGGGGTGGACACAAAAACAGATAATATGTTTTATGATAGTTTGTAACATCATGGTTTATGTATGTGTTTTAATGTTTTATGTAATACATAGACCAATAAAATATATTTTCGTTATTTAAAATTGAATTATAAATATCTGTTTTTTCTATTCCCAAATTTATATATATATATACACATGTATATACATCAAACTTTATAATTTAACGTAAAAAATTTACTTTATTTATAAACTGAAATGGTAAAATATATATCACCTAGGTAGGTATATTGGGTAAATATTGGGTAAATATTGGATCATTATTAAATAAAAATATAGGTCCTATATTTGCAAACTAAAATGGTAAAATATATGGCACAAATATTGGGTAAATATTGCATTTAAATATTGGATCGGTATTGAATACAAATATTGGTCCTATATTTACAAATTAAAGTGGTAAAATAAATGTCACCTATATTGGGTTAATATTGTATGTCAATATTGGATCAATATTTAATACAAATATAGGACCATTAAAATACAATCTGACGTTTCCATCATTGGGCCAATATGTAAAAATAATATTTTACCAATATTGGTGTGCTACTGGGGTTAGTAATAATAATAATTATTATTATTTTTGTTATAAAAGAAAAAATATTAAAAATAATAAAAATGGAGTACTTTGAAATAAATAATTTATTTGATTTAAAAAAGAACGTATTGGTATATGATAGGTCTTGCAGGTATAATGGCAAAAAAAAATGTTTTATTGCATAACCCCTGTAAAATCTTTATTTATCGTGCGATTTTTACCAGATTTGTTTTAAAGGTAAAATTTTGAAAAACTGTATTTTTGAAGCAATAATAACTACAAAAATTTATTTTGTCAAGTTATACCTACATGAAAAAAACATTGAAATAAAATTAAACTAATAGTATAAAATGGTATACTTAAGTTTCATTTTATTTCAATGTTTTTTTCATGGATAACGACGGAATAAATTTTTGTAGTTATTGTGCATTTTTCTACTTAAATTTTTTAAATAAAGTTTAGTAAAGGGTCGTTTTGAGGGGGTGGTGAATCCAGTGCCGTGCTTAGATTTTGTTTAAAAAAATCGTTAATATGAATTCTTAAAAAATTACTCTTAAAAACTGACATAGTAGGCCTTGCTTTTTGTACAAATATGGCGTTTTTTGCTCCAAATATACAGTTTATCAAGATCTACACCTTAAAAGAAATCGCACAATAATTAATGATTTTACAGGGGTGAGTTGTAAAAAAATGGGTCACATTGTATATGTACTGTTTTGCTTGCAAGTAGTTTTTTAAAAACTTTTTAAACCGATGGACTTTTGAAAGAATTAATAATATTATTATTATCAATAAGTTTTGTTATTTTAATATTTATTAGTAGATATTATAATTATTTCTAATATTTCAATTGTATTTTTGTATTATTTTTATTTTTTTTAATTTTTTTGTTATTTTTACTATTTTTATTATAATTATTTTTTTTGTTAATATTTTTATTACGTGGGTATCTACTTCAATTATTTATATTCCTTTTACAATCTTCATTATTTCTATTTAGTTTTATTGTATTATTTTAATTGTTTTATTAATATTATTTTTATTTATAATTTTAAAAAATTAATCTTATTGTTATTATTTTTATTAATTTTTCTAATAATTATTATACCCAATCATTTTGAATATATTTATTAGTATATTATTTTTATCAATTTTACTTTTTTAATTCTTTCTTTATTTCTAATATATTTATTTTTAATATTTTTGATATTTTTATTATTATATTAATAAAAATATAAGAAAGAAATTAAGGTAAACAATAAATAGGGATAATTAAAAAACATAAGTAAAGTAAAACATTTTTATCTATTAAAATAGTTATGAATAATAATTATTATAATTATAATTATCATAAGGGTAACTAATTAATGTTGTTTTTCGTTTTTCTTAAGGTGTTGGACTTTGGCTTTAATAAGGGATACACTTCTTTTTATTTTCGTTTGTTCTAGAAAAGATTTAATTTCTTTGATAGATGAATAAATATTTTTTGAATATATGGTTAAGGAATTTATCCTTTATTAACCCGATTTCCATATTTGTGCAGCCTAAAAATAATAACACATTTATAAAAGTGAAAAAAGATTGTGTGAGTAAAAAATATTGTTTAAACACATTTTATGTGTTAAAATCATTTTGTACTTTTTTTGTTTAAATTCTTTCTTTTTTGGTAATGATTTCATCATTACTAGTATCGTCTAAATCTAAAAGAATTATTTTACAATAGGTATCCATTTCTATAAACATAATGCATTTACCTAATTATGTACTAAAAACTTACTTACCTTGAAAACCGACTCTCTGGATTATTAATTAAGTCCTGGAAGATATATTTTTAACTTAAATCGTTATTCGTATAAGATGTTAGAACAAAAGCGAAACTGCGTACCGTAAAATGGGGTGAATGGGAACACTTTTTGACATTTGATCAATCACAGCGGCCGTATAGTAATTTTTTTAAAGACCGTTTTGGGCCTAAAAGTCCTATGGGGTCCTGGGCTACCTATAACCAAAATTTGAAAATAATAGATTTTTCCAAAATATATATTTTTTATTTTAATGTGCTTTGTTCCTATTGCCCCGGTATCAGTCGATATAGGAACACCAATGTTATTTTCCCTTGTATGTAGATTTAACGCGTTAAAGGTGTAATAGGAACACAATATATTTTTTTTAAAAGCGGCGAAAAATTCATATAATGTGATTCAGACCTTGGGTGGGAAGAAAAAGACCAATATATAACTCAAAAATGTTTTCTTTTATTATTTATAAAACGTATAAAATATATAAAAATAAATAAAATACATATTCTAAAAATTTTGAGTTTATAAAATTATAGCTAAAAAGTTACAGAATAGACCCCTAAGACCTTTAAAAGTGTCTAAATTTCAAAATTTTCCCTGTTCCGATTCACCCAAATGCGGTTCAATTTTGCGCATTTTGAATTTAAAAAATTATTAGGAAAAAGTTTTTAACAATTTGACTTTTTTATATTTTAAATGAATAACTAAGACAACAATCACGAAAGTTTCAGCTTATTTCACTTACCCCTTTTACGTTTTCCAGATGAAGCTTTTCGGAGCACCCATACGATAACAAAACTTGCTCACAATTTGAGTTTAGCCCATAATGACAGCTAGACTGTTACCATTTTTTCAATGCTACCAACTAGCAAACACAACATTCCTGTACATGAAAACCCACAAAAGTTTTTGATTTGTCAATTTAAATTAACGTAAGAAATGTTTGAAAACTTTTTCCCACTTTTGTCCCGATTTCCCCTTTAGTTCCCATTCACCCCATTTTACGGTAACAAATAAAATAAGAAGTATTAAAAATCATTAAGTCTGAACATCTATGACAGAGCGAGATATTACAAGGTTGCCAAATTTCAGAGGTAACAAATGTACGTATACATGACGGAGGTAACTTTGATGTGGCTGAATCTGATTAAAAAGCGACACTAGCGCCAATTCATATATGGTGGAACTAAAAGTTCCTTTTTAAGAGACTGGGGGGTCAAAGTGACCTCCGAAATATTTTTGCACAGATTGATTACTGACACTCCCCCAATGTCAAAAATATGGTTAAACACTGTGACCTCCGAATTTGGAGGTCACAGCGTCATATATGAGGTCACAACGTATGAAGGGTCTCCGTTTTGGAGGTGACAATGTACCCTTTATCAATATATATATAGTTATAGGTATATGGGCAAATACCAAATCGTAGTAAATTTAAAAAAATAATGAAAATAAATTATTTGAAAAAAGTTTTTAAAATGACAATTTGTATCTACTTCTCTAAAATCATAATTACAATTTTCTAAATCTACACCATTTATTATAAAAATTATGTATATTACTTCATTACGAGTCTCAGCAAAATTTTAATAATTAAAAAACTTGGTAACCAATTAAAACTAATTATTTCGTTTGATTTCAGAATCTTCCTCGGACGAGGACAGCATCGTAAATGAGGAGACGATCGAGGGCACGCCCGAACGCGAAAAGGTCCAGAAGGACAGAAGCACCCCGCAAATGTTTCCGCCGCCGCCGCTTTCGGACACCAGCAGCACCGGATCGCCGCCCCCGCTACATCACCGCCCCCGGTTGCCGCAACCGACCAACTGGGACCACAGGATCAGACAGGACATCACGGAGATCACGGATGTCATGCAAAATTTCAGACCATGTAAGAAAAAAGCTTTCAGCATTGTTAAATGGTTCAAGCTATACGCTAAAGAAGTATCGCTAGTAGCGCCACCAGTCGGCTGTTATCATCGTAACAAAAGTACGACTTAATAATCAGCTGTCCAACGCTTACCCTAGTAGCAATGGAATTGGACAAGATTCTTTGTCAAGATACTTGGAGAAGCACTTTGTAAAGAATTGGACAATTCATGACCAAGACTCTTGATCAAAATTCTTTATCCAGACTGGTGGCAGACTTGGACAAGTCTGTGACCAGAATTTGACCAGATTCTTGGCCAAGAATTTTTACACGATTACACGTTAAATAGGAACTTTCAATTCAAGATTTTTGGCCAATACAAAATTTTGTTGAATTTCAAAAGTTAAGAATGTTACTAAAAACATTAATTTTCCACGATTTCTTTCCAGTAAATTCGGTTTTTATCCATAAATCTAGTAAACAATAGAATTAAAAACGAAACAAATTTTGAAAGAGTTAAAGTCTTTAATTTTCTATGTTAAAAAAAACCAGGTGCCTGTAAAAATAAACATGTATTTTATAATCTTTCATGTTCATAAAGAGTAAACTCTAGTTATGCCTCAGAGCTGTCAAACACTTTTTTTTTAATTTTTGATTTTTAGAAATAACACTTTTTATTTTTTTTAAAATCAATTTTTTTATCAGCTAGAAAACGAATCCAATAAGCTCTTATTCGTATTTTCACATAAACAAAAAAACTATACTCATTTCCTACACTTCTCGACTAGTATACATTATTGTGAATGATACTACTGTAGAATGAGAACCTCTACTCTATAGGATAGTCCCAAAGTTTAGCAATAGATGGCCTCAGATTTCTGGTCAAATTCTTGTCAAATTCTGGCCACAGTCTGGCTCAAGTCTTGCCCAATAATCTTGGCCAAGAATCTGGAACAATTCTTGTACAATTCTTGAGCAAAAATCTGTCCAAAGTATCTTGACCCATGCTGGGCCAAGACTTTTCCGGAATTGCTACTAGGGTAGGTTACAAACTAGTGCTTTTGAGAATAAAGCCGGAAAATGTTAAAATATATCGGAAAAAAAAACCGTGGCTCGATTTGTTGTGTTGTTGGTAGGGTTAGGACAGTTGAAATTTTTAAATGAAAATTTCAACTTTGAAAGTTTCAAACTTGAAGTATTTCATTTAGTTGGAAAAGTGAAATTTTTAAAAATTTTAAATGAAATTTTCAATCCGAAAATTTCAACATTGCCTGTGAAAGTTTCAGAAATTTCATTGAAAGTTTCGCAATTTACTGAAAATTTCGCATAAATTTCACATGCGGCCTTCCCTGGGACCTTTAATAATAATTTACAACAGATTCCGAATCGACCAATAAGAACGAGTTATCAAGCGTCTGGGCGTTTTTGTTTAGTTCGGCTTGGATTTGAATACACTATAAGTAAATATTGTTACTTATATGCATAAATTAATTTAAATAATTTAATTCAGTTACCAATTTAATTTGTAAATTAAATCGGACTTTAAAATTTTTTTAAAAGTCATGATTAATTTAAACTTTTACTTTTGCTATAATTGCATCGGAAAACGGATAAAAAATGCCTTTGGCTAATAAAATTTTGATAGTTTCTTCAAATTTTCGTAAAATTTCAGTAAAATATTTAAAAATAATAAATATATATATGTAAATATAAAACAATGAAAGTGGCACAATCTCATTAGCTTACCAAAAAGTGCTATATCTCTTTTAGTTTTAGTAATTTGAAAAATATTTTAAAAGGATATCTCAAGAAATTTGCGGTATAGGTATTTACTATTTATATTATTGGTGCAGGGGCCCACAGAGGGGTAGGAGGCAAGAGAGGCAATTTGCCATGGTCCCCGAGTGGGCATATTTCAATATTAATATATTACACTTAAAGTGATTGAAATTTATTGAAACTTTCAATAGATTTCATGAAATTTCAGAAATTTAGGAAATTTCATAAATGTCATGAAAATTTCAAGTGAAATTTCAAGTACAAGCAAAAAGTGAACAACCCTAGTTGTTGGGTGTATTTCTAGAGGAAATCCTGGGTTGAGTTTTTACCGGTTTTCCAATAAACAGTGTTAATCTCAATGAAGAAATAAATTGCATACATTCTCTGTAAATATAAATTGTACCTATTAGATACAATAAATACACATTTTAGTAATGATTAACGTGAAAAGTGTAAACATTTCAATTCAGTAAAAATCGTCAAACAAATAAGTCGTCTAAATTTAAACAGCATTTAGCATTATTAAAAGCGTCGATTAAGAAAGTCTCCACTCAACGGTAAAATACCATTCTATTATGTAGGTATTATATATAATATTATGTTGCCATGAATTCGTAGGTATATTTTGTTGTTTAAAATGCAGTTGTCGGCGTTTTTTAGAGAACTCAAATATAAAAATGGTTGATTTTAAGGTGATGTTTGTGCTAAAATTATTTTTTACTAATTTCTTAAAAAAATTTAAACTTAAATATAAATTATCTTAGGTAAAGTTATCATAAGTTAATTCTGCACCAACAAATGTACTTACTGAATTGGATCCTTTGGCAAAACATGAAAATGCAACAATTTAGTTCTTGCATTTTATTTACAATTAAAAACACAATAATTCACCCTTAGATAAAATGCACACACTAACGTAACTATTTAACGTAACATTTAAGCGTTGAGTTTCTTAATCAATGATATAAGGAATAATAAATCGAAATCGAGTAATAAAAAAGATTTTTAAGTTTTTTCTTGCAACGTAAAACACAAATAACGTGAGCGATTTAGCTGTGCAATTGAACAAAATTTGTCGAGTAAGACTTCTGCCTTCCTCTCTTTTGTGAAAAAAGTACCTATTTATTTAAAAATGATGTATAATCTGTGCCATAGATGACCGAAGGTGCTTTAAATGTATTGTTAACAATTCTTAAAGTCACGCAATGCTATCGAAGTCCACCAGATGGCGCGCGCGTTGCGAAAACCCGATACTTCTTTAGCGTATAGTAAAAAATATCGACCAAAATACTTGGTAACTCTTATTTCCTCTATATTTTAGATTCTCAACCGCCAGATGTAACAAATAACACTGCACAAGGCACCAGGAGGGCAGCTGCAGACAGGGTGAATAGATATACTTCTTCAGCTTCAGAAGATGGGACGATGGGCACCGGAACTGGCAGATGGAAGGTGTCAGCAAAAATACAACAACTTCTCAACACGTTGAAAAGGCCTAAACGACGCCCTCTGCCGGAATTCTACGAAGATGACGACATTGAGTTGGAGATTGCTGCCAATCCTAAAGACCCAAATGCACCTAAACCAGAAGGTATGTTTTTATTTCACTTAGGTAACCTTTTTGGTTTTATAGTCCACTTTATTAATAATTATTTTAACCTTAAAAACCTACAAGGTCAATATCAAATTTTTAAATACACTCACCGGCAAAATAATCGATCCACACAAATTTTCTATCAATTTCAATCGCAAATAACTTTTTTATTTGATTTCGGATTTAAACAAATATTAAAGAATATTGTAGATAAATTAATGGAAAATCGCTCACATTTTAAAAATTACTAAAAAATAGACGTACGTTTATAATATACAGGTTTAAACAAAAAGATGGTTTTTACCATAAGTTTAAGACACTCTGTAGAGTGGCAAAACCGTATATTGTTCTAAATTAAGTTTTAATTATCATAGTCCAGTCATCTAGGGATTTCACCTCGGAATCTAACGGAATAAGCTGAATTTTTGTACAAACCTTTATTTTAGCATTGCAAATGTTGTCTCAAAAGTCACATATGCCAACGCGTGAGCGGCCTTAGATATTCAAGGTCAAAGGTCGCAAAAATCAATTTTTTGAGAATATCTTCTTTTCTCTGCCTCCTATCGTATTTGCAATTATTATACAAGTTGTAGAGAATACAATTCTCTACAAATTTTGTTTAAAACATTTTTTTATACGTCTAATCGTTTTTGAGATAGAGGACGCAAAGTGTGGAGCGCTCAGCCATACGTACCTATAGCGCAAGGTAAATCATGAATCCCAATCTATTATACCGTTCTTTTAATTAATTATTTATTAAATATTACTTAAATAACAATTTAATACCTTATATTTATTTTTATATATTTTTTTAAAACAAATTATTACTTACTTTTGAGATACAAATAATTAAATAATGAAGTGAATCAATCTAAATATATTCTAATGTTATTCTAATTAATGATAAATGCATTTTAAGAAGAAAAGACATTAAATGAATTTGCCTTAAATATGTCTCTGGTCATCTCTTGGATCCAGATATTGCTTTTAAAATAACAGACCTGGAAATACTAAAGTGGGCTTGCTATAAATAAAAAGTTTAGGTATACCTATATTTAAAGCAAGTTGTGACCCTAGGTATAGGTCTAGGGTTGTAACATGTTAACAGGTAATATTCGTAATATTTTAAAGGTTAACATGGCTGATTTGTGTTTTATTTGTAATAAGTTAGGTACTTTCTGAAGGTGATTCTGTGACTTTTGTGCGCGGTATAAAGAAGCAATTATTGAGAGAAATAAACATACACTACCTAAATACTTTGACTTCTGTGAACGTTCATATTGAGTGTCGAAAATTGTACGCTATAGCGTACTATACTGCCGTGCTTAATAATAATAAATAATTCTTTATTCGTCCCAAAAAAACATATAAAGGATATTTTATAGAGGGACACCTCTGTATACACATTATAATTCAGTACATATTTACATTAACAATCGTCATACACAATTCTTATAGTTACTTAAATACACTATACACATTTATACATATATATTTACATATACATTTATCACTAATACAGTCATTATTAAATATCACAGATATACTTAAAATAAATAAAGCAAGCTTTAACCTCAACTTAAGTTTTTTTTTTCTTCAGTCTTTTTTAGTCCTCCCTGTAATATTGAATATAATCATTTATGTTTTTTTTAAAATTGTGACCTTTAAAATTTTTAATGCTGTTAGGCAGCCTATTATATAAATGGACTCCCCTGTAGGAAATCGAGTTCATTCCCATTTGGGAATTTACTTGAGGTAGATTCACCTCTGCATTGGCTCTTGTCGAGTGATCGTGAACATTATTTCTATAAGTGAACTTAAGACATGAGTGTCTTTTAGAATTAAGGACTTGATTTATAAACATACTTGTTTGATATTCATTAATACTTTTTATAGATCTAATTCTAAACAAGTTATAGAGGTCAGCTGTTGGATATCTTTTATCTAAAGAATATAAATTTTTTATGGCTTTATTTTGGAGTAATTTAAGTGGCTTAAGAGTACAGTTAGATGCATTTGACCAAATAAGATTCAAGTATTGTAGGTGTGAGTGTATCAAGGAGAAGTAAATCGACCTCAAGTATTTCCGGGGGACAGTATACATTCTCCTAAGCACACCAATCAGACCGGCCACCTTTCCACACACATGAATGAAAACGCCGTAACCAACAATTTTGCGATTTTTGTTTTACGGCATTTTCTACTAGAACAATTCATCCTGCGTCTATCCCCGATACTCAAAAAACCGTATATATATATAATAGTAAAATTGCAGCAGCAAAATGTCGCCTTGAAGAGACTGGACCTTCAACGTCATCAACTGTACCTCGTAAAAAAAGGAATGATGTGTTTGATTTTAAAATATTGTGCTTATTTTGTGGTGTAGTCGCAGATGAGGCAACAAAGGCAAAAAATCTGCAAAGTACAAACGCGTTATAAGTAAGTTTTTGAAGATATGACAATTAATGTCAATGATAACGAGGAGAATGATGATGAGAATGAGTCTGAAATTGCTGGCCAACCTGAAGAAGACGAGGATGAAGAAGATAAAGATTAATAATAATAATAATAATATTGATATAAATAAAAACATTTTTTCGTACTCCGATCCAATTATCCTTCATTAAAATTAAATTAAAATATAAGATATATATGAAGATAAAATATATTTGATTTAAAAGAAATATAAATATAAGTATAAGGTATTAAATTTTTATTTTGGTATTATTTATTATATTAATATAATAGATTGGGATTCACGATTTACCTTGCGTAAAGGTAAAGGTACGTATGGCTGAGCGCTCCACACTCTGCGCCCTCTATCTCAAAAACGGTTCGACGTATAAAAAAATTTTGAAAACAAAATTTTTAGAGAATTTTATTCTCTACAACTTTTATAATGAATGCAAATACGATAGGAGGCAGAGAAAGCGAGATATTCTTAAAAAACTGATTTTTGCGACCTTTGACCTTGAATATCTAAGGCCGCTCATACGTTGACATATGTGACTTTTGAGACAACATTTGTAATGCTAAATTAAAGGTTTTCACAAAAATTCAGCTTATTCCGTTAGATTCCGAGGTTGATCCCTTTTTTTAACTAAGATGACTGTACTATCAAGTCACATCTATTTTTAACAGTTTTGTTTTTGGTTCACCTTGATATATTTATTTTTGTGGAAACTATGGATTTTTAATAAAAAAAAAACGAAGAACTAAGGTTGCTATGGACCATCCATAGCCTATGGAGGATGACAGTGACAGTTTTGTTGAATCATATGATATGGGATATCCCCTACTTGGACATGTCATAAACGGCTTTCAAAAGCTATCAAATTGTTTTTTGTAAATTAATGTGTTAATTTTGAGGTGCCTTCTTACTTTTAAAAATGGATATGTCTCCGACTGATGTTGCCCTTTCTACTTTACTTCTTGTGACGTTTAAAATACTTGCCACGTAATACTGTGACTGTCCATCCTGAATTAAATCATTGGTCTGGCAACATCAGTCAAAGACATATCCATTTTTAAAATTAAGAAGACAGCTCAAATGTTAAACATTAATTTGCAAAAAACAATTTGATAGCTTTTGAAAGCCGTATATGACCAAGAATGGGATGATTCAACAAAACTGTCACTGCCATCCTCCATAGCTTATGGATGGACCCTAGCAACCTTAGTTTTTCTTACAGAAAAAATACTGGAAATTGAAATGTTTTTTAAAAAATCCATATTTTCCACAAAAATAAATAAATCAAGGTGAACCAAAAACAAAACTGATAAGAATAGATGTGACTTGATAATTAAAACTTAATTTAGAACAATATACGGTTTAGCCACTCTACAGTGTCTTAAATTTATGGTAAAAAACTTCTTTTTATTTAAACCTGTATATTATAAACGAACGTTATTTTTTTAATTTTTTTAGATAGATAGGAAAAAAAGCAGAAAACCCATAAAATTAAAAAAATGTTTTTTTTTTCATTTTTTAATAATTTTACTAATAATTGAAAATTCCAGAGTTCGACCGATATACAGGGTGTTATTTAAGTATGTGGCTAAACTTCAAGGGGTGATTCTTTGAATGGTTCTTAGACAAAAAGTTTGAACATATGTTTATACCGGAATTATATAGGTATTTCAAGAAAAAAATTTTTAAAATATTTTTTTTGTAGAAATATTAATAATCCTTAAAATTATTAAGTCCAGTGGCGTCTAGTTTTTGATAGCTTTAATTTTGTATGTTATTTTTTTTTCATAAACAAAGCAAGATATAAAGAAATGTTAGAAATACAAAAATTGTTTTTTAATTGCTCAATACAAAAACAATTGTAAAGAAATAAATGACGCACATTTTTTTCTTCAAAAATATTGTTTCAGGTGCTTTCCGGGACGCCTCTGGACTTAATAATTTTAATCTAGTTAGGGCTAAATTAGCCCCTAACTACCATAAATAACACTGCCAAATTTTAACAAAATCTAAAGGATTATTAAGATATTTACGAAAAAACTTTTTTAAAGTTTCGAGTAAGTTAAAGCATTACCAGACCTATGTCTATATAAACTTTTTGCCTTTGTTGGGCTACGTAGGTACTTAAATAACAAAGTATATCGATGATAAATATGATATTTATCAAGATATATATCGATATTTATAAGCAATGATATCACTGATATATATAAAATCCGTTTGGCCACTATTGTAAAGAAACACATGTTGAATAGAAAAAATTAGGATATTTAAAAGTAAGATGCTTGCTTTAACATGAAGCATCAAGTATATAATGTTCATATTTTACCCAGAAGTTCTAGTATTATTTTAAATTTATTCTCTAATACATATTTTTTTGTTTAATTTATTCTATATTTTATTGTGGGGTAAAAAATAGAGGCATTTTTTTAGTGAGACCATTAAATATGGAACTTTAAAACTTTATACTAGTATTTGAATCAAACCACGGGTACCTACATACATACATCCAATGTATAAATTATTTTTTTATTGTTTTTTTTTTAAGTAACGTTAATTTTAAAAATAAGTAGATAGTAACTAAACAAAAAAATTTAAATCATTTTTCGAAATTCCGCATTTTTTATTATTTTAAGTACCTTCCTAAAAATTTGACAACATAAAAAGAAAAATTGATAACTCACTACTCGTTTGCAATAATTAGATTTATTTTGACAGTTGGATGAACATTTAAAAAAAATAATATTTGCAAAAAAAATTAAAATTAATATTTTAAAAATAATTCATTTTTTTGTTTATTTTAAACGTTATTGTTATTTTTGCGGTTTTAAGTGTTGTTGACTTTTTTAATAAATGTCTTTAAAACATTTTTATTTTTGGACCATAAAGCGTAAAAGAAGTAAATAAAAAAATAAATATCAATATATTTATTCGATATTTTGATTTATATAAATATCATTATATTTTTGAACCCTGTATAATTCCCATTTTTTGAGAAATCCCGGAAATTTTCCACTTTGGTAGTCTTGATATTTGATATGAATTATTCTACAAAATTGTAATTAATTAATATTTTAAGGTGGCTCCATGAGTCCAGCTGTAGGCGAACAACTAACAATCCCATCAGGTCTGCCTAGAAGCCTAGAATCCGCCATCACTAGGTACGGTAACGGAACCTACAAAGCCCCCGTGGCCACGGTTTTGGACCCCAACGGAAAACTAACCACCACCCTCACCTACGGCAAACTTTTGAGCCGTTCGCACAAAATAGCGTATGCTCTGTTAACGAAACAGTTCAGCAAAAACGGCGACACGAGTCTGAAGTCCGGCGACAGAGTGGCTCTGGTGTATCCGAACAACGACCCGATCAACTTCCTGTGTGCTTTCTACGGCTGTTTGCACGCCGGCTTGGTGCCAGTGCCCATCGAAGTACCGATCACTAGACGCGATGCTGGATCATTGCAAATAGGGTTTTTACTGGGCAGCTGCACGGTGCAGGTAGCTCTAACTTCCGAAGCCTGTTTGAAGGGCCTCCCCAAAACAACGTCCGGCGAAGTAATACAGTTCAAAGGGTGGCCCAAGTTGACTTGGTTCGTCACCGAGCATTTAGGCAAGACCCCGAAGGACTGGACTCCTACGCCTCGGTTAACCGACGAAACGCCCGCTTACGTCGAGTACAGCACCGATCGAGATGGCTCCGTGATGGGCGTGACAATAACAAGGGCGGCCATGGTGCAACACTGCCGCATGCTGACGATGTCCTGCAGCTACACTGAGGGCGAGAATATGGTTTGCGTTTTGGACTTCAAACGCGAAGTGGGCTTGTGGCATTCAGTATTATCGAGCGTTCTTAACGGCATGCACGTCATCTACATACCCTATGCTTTGATGAAGGTGAACCCCGCCAGCTGGATGCAGATGATCACCAAGTACAGAGCTTGCTGCGCTATTGTTAAATCCAGGGATCTTCACTGGGGCTTACTCGCCACTAAAGATCACAAAGATATAAACCTGTCATCGCTAAGAATGTTGCTAGTGGCCGACGGGGCCAACCCATGGTCGCTAAGCTCGTGCGATCAGTTTTTATCAGTATTTCAACCGAAAGGACTCAAAGCCGACGCGATATGTCCTTGCGCCAGCTCCAGCGAAGTTCTCACCGTGTCCGTAAGGAGGCCTGGCCGTGCCGGCGTGAACGCGACCGGTCGCGGCGTGCTGTCCATGCAAGGCCTCAGCTACGGAGTGGTCAGGGTGGATCAAGAGAACAGCTTGACGTCACTCACATTGCAAGACTGTGGGCAGGTCATGCCCGGCTGTGTGATCGTAGTTGTTAGGATGGAAGGACCTGCGTATCTGTGCAAGACCGACGAGGTTGGCGAGATATGCGTGAACTCGGGCGCCACGGGCACTCAGTATTGGGGCCTGCAAGGCCTCAGTAACACCACTTTTAAAGTGCAACCGCTTGGAAACGACGGAAAGCCCATTTCCGACGCGGAGTACACCAGATCGGGACTTTTAGGGTTTTTGGGCCCTGGTGGTCTCGTTTTTATATGCGGATCCAGAGACGGTCTGATGACTGTCACGGGGCGCAAACACAATGCCGACGATATAATCGCCACCGTTTTGGCCGTGGAACCCATGAAATTTATATATAGAGGCAGAATAGCTGTTTTTAGTAATAGAGTTCTAAGGGACGAGAGGATTTGTGTTATTGCAGAACAACGACCCGATTGCAGTGAAGAAGAGGTGAGAATATTTTTTTTTATTTTAATTTTTAAGAAAATCTATAAGTGCCATTTAGACCAGTAAAAGTGTAAGATTTTTACAGAGTGTCCCGAAAATAGTGTGCAATACTTTGCAATACTCTACAAGTGGTTTTTGGTGCCAAACATACAGTCCCATTTGTTTGCGACTCTTTAAAATCTTTATTTATTGTGCGATTTGAACCGGATTTGTTTTTAAGTGTAGATCTTGATAAACTGTATTTTTGCAGCAAAAAACGACATATTTTTTCAAAATACAAGGCCTACTATGTAAGTTTTTAAGAGTATTTGTATTAGAGATTTAAAAAAATTCTATGAGGTAAAAAAAATTGTGGAGAATTTTTAATTTTTTGTTGCCTTGTTGTTTTTAATTTCTATTGCGTTTTTTATTTGTCAAAACTAAGTATAGAAAAATGTTACTTTTAGTTTAATTTTATTTCAATGTTTTTTATGGTTAACTACATTTTTTTTAAATAGTAATAATTGTGCATTTTTAATTTAGCTACAATATCTTTCCTACTTAAAATTTTTCAATAAAATTTAGTATAGGGGCATAGTTTTTTTTAAATCGATAATATGATTTCTTAAAAATTTACTCTTAAAAACTTACATACAAGGCCTTTTATTTTGTAAAAATATGGCGTTTTTTGTATCAAAAATACAGTTTATCAAGATCTACACTTTAAAACAAATCCGGTTAAAATCGCACAATAAATAAAGATTATACAGGGAGTCGCAAACTTTTTGTATATTTTTCTCAATATTTCTGGTTAAATTGATTTAATAAAAAAAAATATTTTTTTTTTCATTTTGTTTTTTTTTTAATGCCCTTTATTGATGTTTACGCGTGGAAACTTTTATATTCTGCGGCCAACTTAAAAAAATGCACACAAAAAAGTTGGGGCTAAAAATAAAAAATAAATTTGTTTTTATTTTTACATTCAGCAAAAAAAGTTTAGTAAGCATACAAAATTTTCAGGGGCGCCTCTTTAATATGCTATAGCTCCCTTGGAAGATATTTGCCGACCTACATACTTTTCCTCCTATTTTTGTCTTTAGAAACCGTTTGTAAAGTTTTACACACCATTTTCGGACACCCTGTTTAGGGAACCCAATACATTTTTACCGGCTGGAATTTTATTCTTTTAATTAAATTAATCAAAAGAGCATTAATTAAATTGTATGTGTTCTGGTTTTCGGATTGATCCGAACAACCCTATGCCCTTTTATAAAACATATTTTGCTCCAAGATGCGTTGTTGCTTAAATATACTTAAAAACCCTCAATGGTTTTCTCCTTTTGTACTCCTTCAGCGCTATTTCATAGACAAAAAAATTTGTAGCTTTTAAAATTTTCTATAAAATCGAATTTATTTATAGTAAATTAGTCCAGTGTAGGCTGGACAATCTACAACATTTTGACGTTTCTTTAAAAAAACATTTTAAATCTTTCTGCCTTATAATTTGTTGGTTGCAAATTAGTTATTTAAAAATATGTCTAAGTGAAATTTAATAGGCATTCAATTTTTGTAATTTACTTTTTTGTTAATTCATTGTTAAAGAGGAAACAGGAGAAGGTACTGCGTAATATTGTCCAGTACCACACTAGACCAATTTAACCAAATTTCAGGAGAGGATTTTCTAAGAAAAAACATCCTAAAAGTGGCAAGAAGGGAGATATTCAAATTACAAAAAAGTTGTTACGCATCTTTTGGATACATTGGTTTTATAAATAATGTAGCTCTTAAAATTGCCTGTGCGTTAAACGGTTCCTAAATTATTAATCCAAAATATACCGGGTGTATCTGAGAATAGGCGCACTCCTGTAACTTTATTATTTATAAAGATAGACACATGAAATTAAGCATGGTTAATTAGGATATAAAATGCCACTTATAAGAGTACAAAATGAATTTTTTAAACTTCCGGTTTCGCCGGAAATGATATCAACTTTCGATTTTTTAATGGAACGCCCTATATATTTTTACATATTTCGAATCTTGAGAAAATTCTTAGTCGGACAGCATCCTCAAATTGACCTTTCGACGTTTCGTCATCAGAAAATGCATCATCATAAAGATCAATCTAGAGTGCTTTGAACTATTTGAGAAAAACGAATTTTGACAAGTTTAGACTGATGGGAATAGCTGAATAATAACTTTCTAAGGCAAGATCCATTTTTCAGGCATTGTGTGAATCCATTAAAAGAAAATAAGATAGTTCAAAGCACTCTAGATTGATTTTTATGATGAAACATTTTCTGATGACGAAAAATCAAAAGGTCAATTTGAGGATGCTGTCTGACTCAGAATTTCCTCCGGATTCCAAATATGTAAAAATATATAGGGCATTCCATTTAAAAATCGAAAGATGGTATCATTTCCGGCGAAACAGGAAGTTCAATAAATTCATTTTGTACTCTTATAAGTGGCATTTTACATCCTTATTAACCATGCAAAATTTCATATGTCTATCTTTATAAATAAAAAAGTTACAGGGGTGCGCCTATTCTCAGATACACTCGGTATACTATTCAATGTATGTTCTTTAGATTAAAAAAACAAAATTTTAACCAGCATAAAATCAATATCAATATACGCTTTTACTGGCTTAATACTCACAAAGGATGTGTAAACATTTTGGATGGTACGAGTTTTTTTGATGAAAAACAATTAAATGAAATATAATGAGAGACAGGACAAATGACAAAATAATGAGAAACATACTATATCACTTTATCTTTAACGTTTATTTCTCCTTAGTTTCTTCTATACTTTTAATTGACAATTTTGAAAATCTTGCAAAGTTACGAAGATTTTGGAAAATATCAAGGTGGTTGTGAACAAAAAGTTAATCCATCTTGTGGCGGTCGCCATTTGGATTGATTTATTTCTATCTCTTCCTTACTTATGCTCAGCCACTTATTTCTTACGCCACTTAGATGGATTTTCTGTGACATCAAATGCACACACTAACTTTTATACATGACCTACCTGTGATGCTCAATTTCCCAGGATAGTATAGATGTTTACGTACAAGAACAAAAAATCAATGCCCATTAAGTAAAAAAAACTATTTAACATTTTTTAGTCATTCCAATGGATGTCAAGGGTTCTGCAAGCAGTCGATTCGATTCACCAAGTAGGAATATACTGTTTAGCTTTAGTACCTCCCAACTACCTCCCCAAAACGCCCCTGGGAGGAATTCATCTGACAGAGACCAAGAGACGTTTCTTGGAGGGTACTTTGCACCCAGCCAACGTGCTTATGTGTCCACACACCTGCGTCACAAACCTACCGAAACCCAGAGAAGTGCACTCAGGTGAATATTATGTTTATTTTTCAACACGTTTTATTTGGTTACAGTTTATGGGACGCTGGGAAAGATTTGTTAATTGTTAACCACACGTTTTTGTGTCTATTTTTAATGCTTTTATATTTTAACAAAACTTTTCTGGTTTTATTTTTTAAGTTTCACTGGTGGTCCCAAGGAAGGGGTCAAACTTTTTATAACACTTTTCACGTTTTTCAACAATTTATGCTTAGATTTACCTTTTTTCTTTAAGAGGCACTTTATTACTGCCGAGAAAAATTAGAATACAGTTATTATTAAAACCATAGTTACATATTTTGATTAATTGCATATACTGACCCCAACCTTTGAATGGTTTAACAATATATTTAGCATGTGCCTTATAAGGCCTTGTAAATCAATTTGTAATGGTGTAATATGTAATTAACAAGTTTTTTTTTCATTTTTAATCTTCCATTTTCAACTCTACCTTTCAATCTTTAATCTTTTATTATTATTTTGTATATTAAGGAATTATTGTATTTAAATAAAGTAATATTGTATATTTATTAAAATAGTATTGTAAATATGTAACTATTGTAAAGGGTAATTTTGGTGCATCCTCATATTTAGTCAATTGGGATATGTTGGGTTGATTATTTTGTTTAGAAATACTTTGGGCTGGGTTTACACAAAGTACCTACATACACTTAATGTTAATATAATTTTGTTTTTGTTTTACTAATTTTGTTGCAAAAGCACTAACTCCATGTCAAGCACTAAAATAAACATTTTAGTTCATAAAATTACTACAAATGCTAGAATATTAGTTGTTTTTTATAATTTAAAGAACTTTTTATATAAAATTAATTAATGTTAATTTTTAACTCGTTTTTCTCTAGAATCATATTGATTATTTTTGATTTGGGTAAAATATATGAGGTGCGTCTGGTCAAAACCAAATATGTCCACTCCCGGCGAAAATCCAAGTAAGCACAGTTACTGTCAAATGTCAAGATTTTTGTTTTTGTACAAAAAATTGTGCTAAAATAAGTTTTTAAAGGATTCTAAATATTTTTATTAAGATTTCCATTTTTTAGACAAGCATACCTACATTTTTATGGGGACTGATTTTTTTTCGTTAAACACACTGTAGAAAATGTTTTCTCTACGACTACTTAAGAATAGTAATATTCTAGTGTAATTTTTGATCATGGAAAGGATGTTTTTCTGCAATACTGAGCGAGAATATTCCTACTCTTGTTTAAGAATGGTCACAAGTAACGACATCTCCTGGCTGTTTACTAAACGTAAAAAATTTAAAAATATTTAAATATTACTGTATTATTTATTAATTAAAAAATAATAGCAGTTGTATAATTAAGGTTTAGGCACAAAAAATTAGTTATATTTATTGTTTTTCAAATATACAAATCAAAATTATAATAAATTTGATATTGAAATGATAAACCAGTTACCTACTATACCGGCTTTGAAGTTTTGACAGATTCAAAAAGTTAAAAAAAAGACCTTTAAAATGTAGAAAAAGAATAGGTGTTGACATAGATTACTTGTAAAATTAGTTTTGTATTTGTTCCAATGTTATTTTTTTTATTAGTTAGTGCAGTGGCGTATTTAGGATTTAGCTCCGGGGGGGGGTCCAAAAAACTAAATATGTACTCCCTGCTTAAAATACCCCATAGAGACCCTGTTCAAACCGATAAATATTTGTATCGGGATGTATGGTGTTTCTATAGGGTGTATCGGTTTGTATAGGACACATAATTGAGATTTATGGTTGTTCTATAGGGATATCCACCGTTGATTTATTTGCTATCGGTTTCAATGGGGAAAATACACATAAATGTATAAATTAGTTTTTCCCCTATAGGACCCCATAGGTTTTAATAAAATTTTGTCAAATGTTTTATGGTTGCTCTATAGGGATATCCCTATATATCCTTCATTGAGTTATTTGCTATCAGTCTCAATAGGGAAAATGTAAAAGTTATGGTGTGCCTATAGGTAATTTCCTATACATTTTCTATCGGGCTGTATCCGGAAAAAACCATGGACAAATGCACACATTGAATCCGGTAGCGCCCGATAGATTATTTTGTATAGGTCTCTATGGGGTATTTTAAGCAGGGATATATATCCTATGCTATGCTTTAATAACTAAAAAATCACAAATTAGGAACTCTTCTGATCCGATAAAATAGAAAATAAAAGGAACTTTCTAAAAAAGGAACATTTTTGTTTCTCTTTCTCTTTAAGTAGTTGATTTTTGATTTTAATGATTTTATATTTAAATATAATTAATAAATAATAAAGTACGTTGACAGTCTTGAGGTTTTTATTTTTTTTAAACTTTTTTTTGTAATAAAAATAATAAAATATGTGCGCCCGGGGGGGGTCCGGACCCGGCGGACCCCCCCTAAATACGCCACTGAGTTAGTGTAAATAACTATTTTTAATTATAATAAAGATTTAGGCATACCATTTGTTTAAATTTATTATAATTTACATTATAAAATTGTGACGGCACAAAATGGTTTGACAATACAAAAAACTTAAATGTCCAAAACTGCTTGGTTTCTTTTCTCTGTTTAAAATTATATAAGCGTTACTATTCTTACGTAGTCGTAGAGAAAATAATGTCTGAAACACGTATGGAATAGCATATTCCTCTCTCGTAAAACCGTCACACTCGCCTTCGGCTCGTGTGTCAAATTTTTCCTCGAGCGGAATATGCTGTATTCCAAACTTGTTACAGAATGTACTATTAGATGGTAATGAACAAAAATGTCCATTCTAATTAGTTGATTTTTTGATCACAATGGATTATTCAGGCGTGCTAGGGAGCCCAAGAGGATATAAAAATACGCTTTATATTGCAAGAATTTAATGTACCTAATTTAAAAAGAATTTTTTTTGCTCTCCTGAAAAATCTGATAAGAGGGACATACCTATTTGGTTTCGACCGGACGCTCCATATATCTTTGCAGTCCAGATTGCTTCATTTAAATATTACTTAACTTTAAATTTTATAATTTTTAAAAATCGACCAAATTGATGTATGATCATGATTTAAATTTTAATGTAGGTACTTTTTCCATAACTTTGGTAATCACTCACTCACTGTACACCCCAAAAAAAGTTGATTTGGTAAATTTAGCGGTCCCATTCACCTGTACCTGTACTAACAAGAGAAGCTTTTGCTTGAGTGATGCTACAGCATGTTGTTCCTCTGCATTTCAGCAACCGACTGTGTTTCAGACGTGGGGCCAGCGTCTGTTATCGTTGGCAATCTTGTCCAAGGTAACAGACTTGCCAGTGCGCAGGGCAGAGAAATCGGCGGATTCCTCGATGAGGATGAATCCTCCAAAAAGGTAAATTCCCCAAGTCTACACTCAATGAAGAAGCTTTCTGAAAAGAAACTTTTATTATAAAATATTTCTCCCAAAAATCTTGAAATCATTGTAAATATGACACAATGTTTTGGAATTTGTGCAGTTGCTATGAGGCTAGGGTTGCCAGATTTTTAAAAATCGAAAGCGGGACAAAATAATTTTGAGAGCGAAGCGAACTGGACATCGCTGCTGGCGAAGTTTTTTTGAAATAATAATAATAATAATAATAATAATGCAATAATAATACACGAAACATTCTTGTTTTCCATACTTTTTTTTATTTTTAGTAATCATTCAATGATATTTAAAAATAAAGCGTATGTAATATTTTCAATCGATTGACGAATGAAACTAATAAATTAGTGATTATTTTAGTTATGACTAAATCAATCACGATTAAAAATTTAGTCGCAACTAAAATCAAGTAATCATTAGTTAGTTTTAGTTTGATTGAAATTTTTAATTAAAAAGTTATTTTTCGTATTTGTAAGCGAGTTTATAAAAAATGTTTTTGTACAATAGGGTTTTTTACATTTATTTTTATTTTTTTTGAAATGTTTTTTTTACATTTACCGATTTAAAAATTTAAATGATGTCAGTGTCAGTTGAAAATAGTGTTTTGAAATTTTCTATCCTTTTATTTTCTTTCCAGTGGCGTCCGTATCTCCGTAGGGGTCCGTAGGAAAAAATGTATAGGAACTTGTCATATTATATTTATGTGTTATATCTAAATCCCTGAGATTGCCCACATATTCTGGGACACCCTGTATAAGACTTGTTTTTTTTGCTATGTATGACTTATAAATGTATAAACCATTTGTATAATTTAATTAATCGTTTACTTTGCATTTTCCCCGACATTACTATTTCAATCAAAACTTTAATCAAAATTGAAAACTAAAACTAATTTAATCGTCAATTGTTAGTTAAACTAATTGCGTTAGTTTTAGTTTTAAATCGTCAATCAAATTTTTGCCAACACTGGTATGTATTAACAAAAACCTCCCGGACAACAATCGGGATTTCCTGGTGAAATCATGATGATATCACAACGTGATTTTTTTTATCACGCCGTGATATCCTGAGTGCATACACATGCTTCATCACAGTGATATCATGTAGCACTCACGGTGTGATATTTGCAAAATTTGCGCATGCGTAATAGTCCTGCGAACTGCGAATTTAAAACCTAGTTTGTTACCTGTTGATTCAACATAACATTTCTCTTAGTGTACGAACGTGGCGCAAAAATGATAATTATCAAAACACCGTTGGCATAAAAAATCTCGAAATGATTTTTTATGCTATCAGTAAAAAAATCACGACAAGATGTTCGTATGAATATCACGAATGTTGTCCTTTTTTAATTGAATTCAATTAAAAAAGATATTCCAATGTTTAATAAAACGTTTTGTTAAACATTGGAATATCTTTTTTAATTGAATTCAATTAAAAAAGGACAACATTCCTGATATTGATACGAACATCATGTCGTGATTTTTTGACCGATAGCATAAAAAATCATGTCGTGATTTTTTATGCCAACGGTGTTTTGATTATCATTTTTGCGCCACGTTCGTACACTAAAATAAAAGTTATGTTGAATCAACAGTTTTTGCGGTTAAATACATTCAATATTTTCTTGAATGTAAATTAACTATTAATTTTTAAAAATCCAAAAAAATATTGAATGTTTTTATTTAACAACAAAAACTCTTGATTCAATATATATGTAGGTATACTTTTTCTCTCAACGTACGAATGTGGCGCAAAAATAAATATCCAAACACCGATGGCATAAAAAAATCACGACATGATTTTTTATGCCATCGGTGTTTGGTCATAAAAAATCACGACATGATTTTTTATGCCATCGGTGTTTAGATATTCATTTTTGTGACACATTCGTACTTTGAAAGAAAAAGTATGTTAACAATTGAATTAACAGTTTAACATTCAATATTTTCTTGGATTTAAATTAACTATATATAGTTAATTTAAATCCAAGAAAATAATAAATGTATTTAACCGCAAAAACTGTTGATTCAACATAATTTTTCTCTTATTGTACGAACGTGGCGCAAAAATGATTATTCAAACACCGTTGGCATAAAAAATCACGACATGATTTTTTGTGCCATCGGTCAATCACAAACAGCGATGGCATAAAAAATCACGACATGATTTTTATTTCTCACACAGTGACATCCGGATGATGTCCGTATGAATAAAATTTGTGAAAATCACGACGTGACGTTCGTATGATTTTTATTTATCACGCGGTGACTTCCGTATGATATCAGTATGAATAAAATTTGTGAAAATCACGACGTGATGTTCGTATGAATATCACGAATGTTGTCCGGGCTTATTTTTTTTAACTTTAAACTATCCTTAAGATACAAAATTAACTTACTATTGTGTCGAATGATGTTTTTGAATAAAAAAAAAACATAAAAACTAACCTAATTCTAAGGTATTTGTTTGGCACGACACTGGTTGAAACCAGGACCCAACTAACGTATAAGCGGTTGGGGTCGACGGACTAAGTAAGGTTGGCCAGTTGTTCAACTGTGGTTCTTCTCGGTACTGCTGTCGATGATTTTAAGGGTCTGACTATACTTCGACTGCAGGTGTTTCTGACGCAACGGTAAAACATGCTAACTTTGCTGTAAACTATTGATTTCCTAAGGAACAGGTATTACATGACAGGGTGTATACTTATCAGACGATCTAACTTTCTTTAGAAGGAAAAACCTTGTTGCTCCTTTTTTATCGTTTTGAACTTGTTCATTACAAATTTCAACAACAAGGGTTACAATTGGGCTGTTCAATAAACAGTGTCCATCACAGCTCCCACATTCAAAATAAATCCTAAATTGACTTTTGCTATCTCATGCTCAAAACTTTTTTTGAGCATTGGCGGGAGCAAGTAGAGCTTTAATTGGAGCAAAATATTTTATCAATTTGTCGATCTCTGCCAACAATCGCATCGGTACTGATCATAAAGGCGCAGCAACTTAGATCAAGTCTCATTGTTCATCATGTCGCAGATTCTCACAATGCAAACCTCAAAAAATTGTTTGTCAGGTATCAAACTTAATTTTAGTTAGGCCTGGAGCAATCAAATTTAAATTAGAAAAAATAGATTAATCGGGACATTCTAATAAATCGGGACGTATGGCAACCCTATATGAAACAAACCTTTTTATAGCCACTGCGCATCCAAGCTATTGCTTTTGCATAAATAATGAAAGTTTCGTTTATTTTGGGAATGTTTGGTTTCTTCCAGAGTGTACGTATTCTTATAATATTTTTCCTAACAGCAACAGTTTATATCGGAAATTCTCCGCTGGAGAGCCCAAGGAACATCAGACCATGTCCTCTTCACGCTTCTGAACAGCAAAGGAACTGCAGCTAAAGTCTTAACTTGCTTGGAACTGCACAAGAAGGCAGAAAGGATAGCGAATCTTCTAACAGAAAAGGGCAAAGTAAAACCTGGCGATCATGTAGCGTTGATTTTTCCGCCCGGTTTGGATTTGATTTGCGCCTTCTACGGATGTTTGTACGTCGGAGCGGTTCCCGTCACAATCCGCCCTCCGCATCCGCAAAATTTACAGACCACTCTACCAACAGTCAGGATGATCGTGGACGTGTCGAAGTCCGTTTTGGTTCTGTCAACGCAGGCTGTGATGAAACTGATCAGATCGAAGGAGGCGAGCCACATAGGGATCTCGAAACCGTGGCCGAACATTTTGGATACCGACGACATTCCGAAGAAAAAGCTGCCGGCGGCTTACCGAGCACCAACGGCCGAGATGTTGGCTTATTTGGACTTCAGTGTTTCTACCACTGGAATGTTGGCCGGGATCAAGATGTCACACGCTGCCGTTACGAATTTGTGCAAGAGCATGAAGTTGGCTTGCGAGTTGTATCCCAGCAGGCATATTGCTCTTTGCTTGGATCCTTACTGTGGACTAGGATTTGCACTCTGGTAAGTTAACTTATCTTAATACAGTAGGTACCCTAGGATATTTTTTACTATTCCCACTAAGGCCCAGTTCTACAGTTCGAGTTTAGTTTTCAATTACATTTAAACTAAGTTCAAACTATTTTATCACCATTGTAACTAGGAAACTGTAGTTCATGAACCTCGATTTAAGTTACTGCAACCCAGCAAAATGTCCACCATAGATGTCTAATAGATATATCTTGATCGAGAGATACAATGTCTAAAAGATATGCGGAAAGATCGGTTGGATATCTAAAAGACATCTTATACACAGTTTTTAGCCCTCTATAAATATATATTATTTCAGATATCTTAAGATATCTGAAATAAGATATTATCTTATATAACTGCATCAAGAAGATATCAGCATAGACAGAACCCTTTGACCTAGCATGACAGTATCATTGGTATTTGTACTTTAACAAATTTTCACCATTCTGATTCATATCCCAATTAGATTTAATTTTTATGCTAAACTGACATTTTTTATTTAGTTAATTTAAAATATTTGCTTCTTATATTTGTATTTTTTTGCTAAACACATTTTTAATTCGCTAAATTAAAAATATCATAGGTGAAATTTTTAAATGCATTAAAAATATTATGGGATATATTTTAAATTCGATTTAATTTTTATTTTATTAAATAAGCATATATTTTTATTGAATGTGATATTTTAATTCCGACTGATTGAGAGTTTGGATACCTCTGTTATTCCAAACGCCATAAAAACCGACCCACTCCAACAACAAACTAATGTGCACTGTCCTTGTTTAGCACACGCTGCACAGATTATAAACTTTACACGCTGAGTCAGTGCGACATCGGACATCGGACTGTGCCGCCATCTAGGGACAGAATTAGTTTGGAATACCAGGGGTGTCCAAACTTTTAATCTGAATTAAAATTATAACATTCAATTAAAAACATCTGATTAATTTAAATTTAATTAGTTTAATTAAACATTCAATTTTCTTAGTTTCTTTAAGAAACTTTCTTGACCCATCACTGGTAATATTCATAAGAAAAAATTGAACCTACACCTCGCCAAAGTTTTTTGTTTTGAATGCGTTCCACCAACTTCAAATACCGACAGACAGCTGTTTCGACCTTTATTGGGTCTCATCAGTGTCGGGCAACTTGGTGTAGAAACTAAGAAAATTGAATGTTTACCTTAATGTTTAGCCCGGTTGGGTTAATTCTAGATTCCTTTAGGCCATATTAGTATCTGTGATACAATTGCTGTGTGCAGTCCCGGTTGCATAGTATGTACCGATTGCGGCAAAGGCCACGTCGTTTGACGGTGTGGATCACCTGATGTTCTTACATCTCGCATCTGTTGACTTAACAACCGAGCATATAAGCTCAGGGAGTAATTTGTTTTGATTGTGTTCCACTACACCAAGTTGCCCGACACTGATGAGACCCAATAAAGGTCGAAAAAGCTGTCTGTCGGTATTTGAAGTTGGTGGAACGCATTCAAAACAAAAAACTTTGGCGAGGTGTAGGTTCAATTTTTTCATCTGATAAATTAATAAAATAAAAATTAAATCGAATTAAAAATATCTCCTATAATATTTTTAATGCATTTAAAAATTTCTCTCGTGATTTTTTAATTGCAAATTAAAAATATGTGCTTAACTAAAAAATATAAATATAAGAAACAGATATTTTAAATTCACTAAATTAAAAATATCAGTTTGGCATAAAAATTAAATATAATTTTTAAATATCTGCTATGATATTTTTATTTCGCAGAGTAAAAATTCCTATATGATATTTTTTATCTAATTGAAAATATCACTTTAGTGTTAACACATAAGAATAATTCCTTAATAAAAAATAAAACGGCGACCCATAGATTTAAGACATCTGGTCTGGTTTAAGAAATCTATGACATTGTTTAGCCATTTGTAAAAAAATCTGGAATTGGTCTTTTTTGATTTATCCAATAGATAGAAATGTAGGTAACGTAAAAATAAAACATGTTTTTTTCCTTTTTTATGTTTTTTTTACATTTTAATGTCTTTGATTAATTTCATAAAGCATAGTTTTGTCCTTTTGGTCCCTTTTACATAAAAAACACCACATTTAATTTAGCAGTAAAACATAAATGTTACCAAAAACTTGTTAACTTTTAACTCTAGATTAAAAAACAAAACACGTCATAAGTCAAATCTCTAAAATTAATATTTTAAGAGATATGCGAAATTAAAGTACCTAATCAAAATTTAAAACGTTTAAAACGTCAAGATTAATGGTTTTACAATTAAATAATATTTGTATTAATAATGTTTTCCACTAATTTTATTTTATTAGGTGCCAAACACAATTAAAATTTGTAAAATATTTAAAGATTAAATCAAAATAATATTTGCATATTTTTTGCAAAAGACTAAATTTCCTACAAAAAATGGATTTACTTTTTTCTCCAAAGCAAAAAAACATCATTTCATAGAAAATCAAACAAAAAAAAACATGCTTTTTCAAAAATAAAGAAAAGATATTATTTTATATCAGTTACCTACCAAATACAACTAGGTACATCAAGAAGATATCAGAAAAGATAGAACCTTTTGACCTATAGCATGGCAGTATTGTGGGTATTTGTACTTAACAAACTCGATTTTCATTCCATTCTGATTTAAGACATCTGGTTTATGAAATCTATAATACATTGTACATCTGTAAAAATATCTGAAATTGGTCATTTGGTAGATATATTTTTTGATTTGCCTAATAAATAAAAATGTAACGTCAAAAAAACATGTTTTTTTAAAATGTTTTTTACATTTTATGTGTTTTTTTAACTTTCTTTGATTAATCCCATCAAGCATAGTTTTGTCCTTTTGGTCCCTTTTTCATAAAAAAAAACCAAATTTAATTTAGCAGTAAAACATAAATGTTAGTGAAAAGTTGTTAACTTTTGACTTTAGATTAAAAAACAAAACACGTCATTAGTCAAATCTCTAAAATTAATATGCAAAATTAAATTAATCAAAATTTAAAACGTTTTTTTTTTTAATTTTGACGACTTCAAAAAGTTTAAATACAGATCTCTTAAAATATTAGTTTATGCAAAATACATCAATTTTATAGAAAATCAAACTTTGAACCAATAAGATACTTTAATGTGGTTCTGAGTTTTATTTAATCAAACGAGAAAAAAATATTTACCTACATTTTTCAATAGAAACAACTTTGTTCCAGTTCTTAAAATTCTTGTTCTCTCTTGTGAGATTGATTCTGTGTGTTAAATTGTACAACATGCCTAAAGCTGTATTTCTATTTGTAGGTGTCTCAGCAGCATATACTCTGGCCACCACTCGATCCTTATCCCACCATCAGAAGTGGAAGTAAACCCTGGCCTCTGGCTGACCGCTGTAAGCCAATACAAAGTCCGCGACACATTCTGCTCGTACGGCGTCATGGAACTTTGCACCAAAGGCTTGGGATCATCGGTAAACCAACTGAAATCTAGAGGCGTCAACTTGGGCTGCGTGAGAACCTGCGTAGTCGTAGCCGAAGAAAGGCCACGTATAAATTTGACCACGAGTTTTTCGAAGTTGTTTAGCGCTTTGGGTTTGAGCCCCAGAGCAGTGTCAACATCGTTTGGATGCAGAGTTAACGTGACGATTTGCTTGCAAGGAGCTTCGAGTCCCGAACCGTCCACAGTGTACGTGGACCTGAGAGCCCTGCGAAACGACAGAGTTAGTTTGGTGGAAAGGGGCAGCCCGCACAGTCTCTGCGTTATGGAAAGCGGCAAGTTGCTGCCCGGAGTGAAAGTGATCATAGCCAATCCCGAATCCAAGGGCCAATGCGGGGATTCGCATTTAGGCGAGATCTGGGTGCAAAGCGGCCACAGCGCCAGCGGCTATTTCACGATATACGGCGATGAGAGCGAATACGGCGACCACTTCAACGCGCGGTTAGTAACGGGAAACACGGGAGAAGTATACGCAAGGACCGGGTATCTAGGATTTTTGAGGAGGACGGAAGGAACCGAACGTAATTGTGCCAATGATGAATCCACTTTGAGTAGGGAAAGTGATAATGAGTCTGTCGGTTCTTCTCATCATCTGGTGCCCACCGATTCGCCTGAATTGCACGATGCTGTCTTCGTGGTCGGGGCTCTAGATGAAACGATCATGCTTCGAGGAATGAGGTATCATCCTATCGACATTGAAAACAGTGTTTTGAGATGCCACAAGAAAATTGCTGAATGGTAAGTCGTAAAATATATTTTTTCTACTACCTCCTTTAAAACGCCCATTATCGTACGTGTGACCTTTTAAATTTTGCTCATAAAACATTCTCTTCTCTTTTACTGTGAAAAACTGCTTCTATATCGATTGTTAGTCTATTTTCAAGGGATACATTTTGATTCACACAAATAAATTTGAGATTTTAATGCCGGTAGATTCCCATGGGTACAAAAAGTGACAGTTGTATTTGTTGTAATTCTTGCAAGAATTACAACAAATACAACTGTCACTTTTTGTACCTTTAACATTTCCCTTGTAAGAATTGTTAGTACCTACTTTGTGATAATATTTAAAAAAAACTAAAAAGTTTTAGTAAGTAAAAATAAGAGTTTTACTTTCTCTTCAAAACTCAGAATAAGATTTGGGAGTCTTCTGGAAGAGTTATTCTGACTTAGGGGACATCCATTAATTACGTGAGGCATTTTTCTGATAATTTGGACCCCTCCCTTCCCTTTGGTGAGATTTAGTGAGATGTGGTAGACCCCCCCTATCCCTCACGTGAGATTCTAGCCATTAAACTTTCTATGAGGACAACATGATAAACCCAAAAAATAAAAATTGATTACTTTTTTTTGATAAATTAAGCTATTACCAACTGGCACACACAAAAATTGCTAAGTGTATGGTTTTATTTTCATAATTTCGTAAAAAAACATGGAAAACAATACACAAATGGCCAAGTTTGGCAAAGGCAAAGCTCCGCTACAAGAGAAACCGAAAAAAATAGATTTTTATCAAAAATCTTCAAAAAAGATCAGACTTATTATTTTAATTTTGTGAAAAAAATATCATATCATTTTTGTAGAAATATCTATTTTAAAGATTTTTTTGTTTATTTAAAAAAAGCTGTATTAACAAAGTTTCTAGTTAAACTTTATTAACAAAAAGTATTCAATGATTGATTTCCTATTTATCACTTTAGTGCTTTTAATAAAAAAATCATGAAAATTAACATTACTCTTTTTGTTTGGCACGATACTGGATTCGTTTAAACCCTGACCTACCTAACGTGTAAGCGGTCGGGGTCGACGGACTAAGTATAGTCGGCCAGTTGTGGTTTTTATACTTCGATAGTCGACAGCTGTTGCTGACTGGTGACTGTTCATCAAATTACGTTAATTGTCATGATTTTTCATTTATAAACAGTAGGAGTCCTACTGTAGAACTAATGCAAAAGTGATCCCTAAGGGATGACAACTTATTACATGAGATTTTCATGATATTATAGTAGACGTTTTGAAATTAAAAAGCCAAAATTTCAAACCGTCATAATTAAAAAAAAAATTGCAAAATTTGTTGTGCTTGAACTTATTTATGAAACGGTCGATATTTCAAATGTGGAAATTTCAAAAATCTTGTAATTTTGAAAATTTTAAAAATTTAATTTTTTTATATTTTATGTTTTTCCTACATTTTTATTTTAAAATACTGTGCGAATTTGTCCTATCGTGTGCACGCCGTTTTCGTTGTATCGCCTCAATCCTAGATTAATCAACGGTTTTATTTATCTTCTGTAACGCAAAGAAATTTCGCTTAAAAAATAACATTTCTTTTATAAAATTATATCAAAAGTGTTTTATTAACTTTTTATGAATGAAAATGTAGAACTATTTTTATCTTATTTTTAAATATCGATATATTTTAGACCAATGATGTTTCTCTGTTATAGTGCTGTATTTACTTGGACCAATCTGTTAGTGGTAGTTGTCGAGTTGGACGGAAACGAAAGCGAAGCTCTGGACTTGGTCCCCTTAGTCACAAACACCGTGCTAGAGGAACACCACCTGATTGTAGGCGTTGTAGTTGTCGTTGATCCTGGCGTTGTTCCGATCAATTCCAGAGGAGAGAAGCAACGCATGCACCTGCGCGACGGATTTCTGGCCGACCAATTGGACCCCATTTATGTTGCTTACAATATGTAAGGTGGTTGTTGATTTCCAGATTCTATCTCGATGTTTATACACGCGTTTATTGGCGGCAGGTCCGAAAAAGAACTTGCCCAGGTAACACTTGTATTTTGGAAGTTTTTTCTATTAGGTTTTAACACAAATTGCAATATCTAAGAAAATACTATTATACAGAAAAAAGTTAAAAACAAAAAGTATGAAGAATTCAATTCTCTACAATTTTTACAATAATTATTTTTCTTCTAAAATTGCTAGATATTAAAAAAAAAATTTATGAGATTTCTAGTAATTTTAAAACAAAAGTTTAATATAAAATTAAATTCTCAATATATTTTCTTTTTAGCATTTTTTTGTAGGACTTTAGTTATTAAAAACTAACTTTACTGGATATGTATTTATTTATTTGCTTAAAATCGTGTTTAAAAGCTAAAGAATAAACTTCTTTAATAAAAAGAAGGTTATTTGAAAAGTAATGTTTGGACCCACCGTAATATTGGCGGTCATTTTGTGCTGTATTTGCCAATTTAATTTATTCTGAGGGATAGTTTTTTTGACTTGGATTTGAGCTGGATCAATTTAAATATGGCAAACTTGTTATGAAATGGGATCTTATTATTTACAACTTTTGTATGAAAATTAAAGAAGAAAAAAACAATTTGTTGTAAGCATATCTGCCATGAATACGTGATTTTCAGTTAGAGTTTTAGTAATATATTTTAGATTAAAATTTGTATAAAATTTGGCTCAAATTTGTTAAAGTCTTCACATTTTCATGTAATACAGTGGCGATTTGTAGATGTAAAACGCCTACATGGCTCTAATGTATAGTTTATGTAATTTGTAGATTGTACAGTTTTTAGTGAATTTTTTGCTATTCTGTGCAATACTTATGTATTTCTTCTACTTTGTGATTTTAATTTATGATTTTTGAAACACTTTTAATTCTAATTTATTTCTTGTTAAAATGTTTTCTTAAAACTAAAAGAGTTTTTTTATTCTTTAAGACTTTGGTTTAATAAAGTGATTCTTTTGTGTAAATAAAGCTACACTATTTTTTGTTCGTTATATTAATGCTAATCAAAAACAACATTTAATTAATCTTACGTATTTTAAATTTTTAAGTAAATGATAATAAAAATAGTGTTATTTATACTAAACTGTGTAATGTAAGCATATAGTACTCTAGTCTGAATAAAACTATTGGCTGCTCGATTTTGTACGTTCACATTATTAAGCACTTGGTTGTGTTTGCCCTCTTTACTTATTTAAAGTTTTTTTACGTTTTACAGCTTTGTCATCACTTTTATTATTTAGATAATTTAATTTAATCCAATTTTTTATTATATGTGGGCAATTTTTAATGCTCAATTAGTATTTATAAAAATATGCTTTTTTGCATTAGTTTGCACAAATCTCTGTTTTTGCAGAGTGTGACAATAGTTAATTTTATGTACATATTAATGTAGTATTTTAACGTTAGTGACTTTGTATTTCATTTACTTTTGTTATAGTACTATACAAATCTACGTACAATGTGGACACAGTTGCAAATAATTAATAAATGTATCTTTATAAAGTTTGCCCTTTATTTACGAAAACCCATTTCCAATTGTTTATTTTTAATACTATCCCAACACCCTATGAATCTCCATTTAATTAATATAGATTAAAATAGAGTTCTGTGGTTGGTTTATTACCAAGATACATATGTACACCTTATTGTATTACATTTATTACATTGTATGTTGATCATTTCAAGGGGGTGTTTCACAGATGATCACATGGATCAAAAAAATTTATGATTTATTAATTTATATTTTCCTTTGAAAATTTTGGCCATTGACAAAAACCCCTGGTTTATACCATCCAGTATACTATAATAGTTCTACTACCTATAATATATACAGCATAGGAAAAAGATATACAGGGTGTCTCAAAAGTCAAGGATAGCAGAAAAGGGGTGGGATTCTAAATCGAATAGTCTTTGCCGTTTTTTGATCAGACCAGTGTTACCAGATTCTGTCAAAAAAGGACCGTACGTTTCGTTCGAATTTACCTTAATTACAAAATGACACAATGAAACAATGCAAATAAATGCAATTATGTCAAGTTGACGTTATTTAATATTGTCCATTGAGTCATTTTTGTAATTAAGGTAAATTCGAACGAAACGTACCCGGTCTTTTTTTGACAGAATCTGGTAACACTGGATCAGACCCACCATTAATAAGTTATAAATAAAATAAAGTAGCCAATCACAGTCTTGCTCTAGCCTTAGAAGAAGGCTCTAGCAGAATGATTAGAGGTGGGACAACACAAACTTTTGTAGAAATTTCATTGCTATTGTGAAATGACCTTTTATTTTTTCACTGTCACTGTCAGTGTTTTGGTCTTTTAGGTCAAGAAGAAATGTTCATTTTTTTGTGTGGGACAAATAGACCTACCTTTTCTTTTTATTATTTTTTTTATCTTGCGACTAATAATAATACACGGTTGATTGTTATATAGTTTACTTTAGTCGTTTTTTCGCGTAAATACTATGTAATACTACGGTTAAATAAGTCATGACGTAACCATGGTTAGGTTTCTAACATTTGACATTTGTTTACTTGTTCATAACCTATAATTTTTAAAATGTGTTTTTACCTATTTATATTTAATTTCTATGCTTTTACCGGTGTAAATAAATTTCTTTGCCTCTTCTTATACCTAGTAAATTCTTTTTCTATAGGTACTAGTTTTTTCAGTACACGTTATCCAATTCTCCTACATGTTTAATACAAAATAAGGAAGAATATAAAACAAACCTGCATATAATTCCTCCACTTGTGGAGAGTCCACAATATGGAGCACCCTATCATTTATTTTTACTGACAACACCCCGTTTACCATTTTAATACAAAGTTTAAATTCGGTTTAAGAGCAATTGTACCTCCTTAAAATATTTTAAATTTCAAATGTAAACAACTTTTTGACAGATCAAAACAGAAAAATATATATTAAAAAGAGAAAGACTATTAACCACGTTGAATAACTAGTTCAGCGATATAGTTTTATGGTCTGGTATTTGTGACGTCATAGTTAGAATTTTTGAACGCACTCTAAACGCAAAAATGCCTTAACTATTAACCAAGGTTAAGTTTAATAACCATAGTATTTCATGGTATTTACGCGAAAAAACGACTTTTACTTTATTTAAATAAGTTAAAATGATTATTTTATTAATTTTAATAATAATTAATTTTAACATTATTATTTAATTAGAGATATTTTTAAATGAATTCATATAAAAATGAATATGTAATAATCACAATCCACACAACAAGGCCTGTTTTATCCATATATGTATATGGTTTTATCTCGTTTCGCAAATACTAAAAATCACTGCGACACTGACTCAGACTCTAACGGCGGCCATTTTTATGTTGTTTACAATTCTTGTGATTTGGGTTTGTACTGTTTATACATATTAAAAATCGTTTTAAACGTTGTGTTTCTTACAGAGGCACTTGTAAGTGCTAAGAACAACCATTTTAAACCTTATTATATCAGGGCTGTCATCAAACTTTCAAATTTAAATTTGTGGGTTATGGTAAATAACCTTAAAATTAAAATTTGACAGTTTATTGACAGCCCTGATAGGTTTATTTTTACAAAAAGCGGAGTAAAACGGTTGCTCTTGGCACTTTTAAGCCTCATTTGAGGCTTAGAAGTGCCTATGTAAGAAACACAATGTTTAAAACTATTTTTAATATAACCACCACTTTTTTGCTGTCCTTGAGTTTTGAGACACCCTGTATTTAGTTTTTAAATAAAATATAGATCTCTGTAGAAAGTATATTTTAATATTCTGAAATTTAAATTACTATGTATAAGTACTACATAAGCATGAATTCGTTTAAAAATAAACAAGATAAACAAGCCATTTCAGACTGATCGCTTTGGCAACACCGCAAACAACTGTCATTTAGTGATGAATCTTTTTCGAAAACGAACCGTTTGATTTGACAGAAGACTTATGCCGTTGTTTTTCTATGGTGGGTAGTAGAAATTTATTTACCCGAAGTTTAAACTTTGTCGCCTTGTTTACGAAATCATTTCGCAAGCGTCGAGTTGATTGAATTCGAATTTAAACCGAAGGAGGAGAGTGGGTGTGCATATTTACTATTGCTTTTGAAATGACTTGAATTGTTTCTTAATACATGGATAACATGGACTCAAATAAATTCAGCCCGAGCAAAACATATCAAGGTAGTCGATTTTTAGTATAATCTAATCTTGTTTACAGGAGTGTTTGTTTTTTTAGCAACAGATAACAATGATGAACCCTACCCAAGCCTATCCGATTATCATGATTATGAGCCAAATCTTGAGTTTGATGATTCTGAATTACACCAGGGACCAGATATCTTAGCATCTACAGGTAAAAAATAATGTACATGGTAGTAGTATTAATCTTGATGCATTTATTTTAGCCGATTTATTAAATGTGGAATCCAATGGAATTGGTTCACCAGAATCAGACTTTGGTGAGGATAATTTTGAGGATCTAGCTGATAACTTGGAAAGCATGACTTTCTGTTCAAATTCCTATCCGGAAGTAGGTGAAGAAGCCATCGAAGAATTTGCAGAGATATCCAAATATGGAATTATTGATGTTAAGGGTGATGATTCGCTTGGCAGAAAAATCATTGTTTTATATGCATGCAAACTACCTGCTATTAAAGAAATTGATCATGGACATTTCCTAAAGTAAGTACCTAAATAACAACAGTACCACCTTAAAGTTTTATCATTTTTTAATTTACAAAAGAAATTTCCTCAATAGATTGATTGATTGATTTTGTTTGTGTATAACTAAAAACTATTGGTTAGAAAAAAAACATTTTTCTTGGTTAATTAATATACAAGAAAAATGGCAAGAGCTTGGCAAACTTTGGTTGGTTATTTAAATGTTTTTTTGTTAATATTACAATTATGTACAATTTACATTTTTCATTATATCTTATTGTGGCAAAATGTTGCAATAGTTTAAGAAAAAATATTCTTAGAAAAAGACAGTGATCATGTAAAATAAAATTGATGAAAAATAATTAAAAACAAAATTCTGATATACAGGGTGTCCTGAAAATGGCGCACTAACGCCACACCAAGTGATGTGGGGAATATTAGTATACAAAAAGTAAAACAAAAATCTCTGAACAGTAGTCTTTAAGTCATTAGTTTTTTTTTGTTTTTTTTTTTCAGGTTTTTCTTCATTGTTTTTTTTTCAAATGTTTTTTTTCATATTTTAGTTTTTTTTCAAGATTAGTCCCATTTGCCTAATTTTTAATGTTTCCAGTCTAGTTCATGGACTAAAATTAGCAACTAAATGACATTTAGTAAATGTAAATACATTCCCGCGCTATGCACGAGCCACCACCACCGAATTGACCAATAAGGGCCGCGCTTGTTTTGATTTGAACCTAGGTATAATATTTTTGATTCAGCGCTTGATTTTTCAAAAAGCTACCATGTAGAGTATGGACATTAGCAAATTCTTTTAGAACATTTTTATTCATTGGTGGTTAAGTCAGAACATTCCGTGGACCTAAAAAGAAAGCCAAACAAATTTCGAATTTTTTTATTACGGTATTCGTTAGGATTGAGCGTTGCACGTTTTTCATCTAAAAATATCAAAACTAGAAACTTCAAGCTTCAGAATACAGCTATCCGAAAAATCGCAAAAAATTTGGAATTTTTTTTATCTTTTAATTTTTTCTATAATAGAAAAAATTAAAAGATAAAAAAAATTCCTAATAATTAGTGTAGAAGTTTTACATTGCTATTGGTTTCTTATGTGGAAACTACCAAATAATACAAAATCAGATTTTTTAGTCTCAGTCAAAATTTTCAATAATGAAAAATATATATTCTACAATTCACATGATTATTTTAATGTATTAAAATATAATTTTTACTCAAAATTTCATTTTAAAAAATTAGGTACTCAATTTTTTATGATTGATGTTATTTATTGACAGAATATGCTTTATTAGCTTTGTTCGCGGAGCTCATCCGTGATCAATCCGCGACAACTGCGCATGCGCACTGGCAATTTTAGCGTTCGCGGTGTAAAAACATTTGACATTTGATCACTCGTTCGCGGAGCCTTCGGGACCAGTTTCGAACTAATTACTGACAAGTCAAAACGATCCGAGGATTTTAGCATGTACTAGCTGTCAGACATGCGTATTGTTCATTATTGTTTAAAGTTTATTTTAGGTTATATGTTCTATATTGTTTTTAATTAAATTGTTAAACGAAAACGTAAGTTGAAATACTTATTTTTACTTGCATTTTTCATTTGCTTGCTTATTTTATAGATGAGTGATCATCTATCATCCAGTGATGAAGATTTAGAAAATAGTTTAGATTTAATTGAAAATACTGCATATTTTGAAGAAATTGTTTCCATGTTCGATGATCAGCTATTTAGGGAGCATTTTCGAGTTAGCAAAGAGATTGTTGATGATTTAGCAAAGCGATTTAGCAATTCTGAATACTATACCTAATTATCAGGAAGGAGATTCCCCAAAAAGTTTTGTCACCAAACAGCTGACTGATGGTTGCGGTTAGAAACGCGTTCGCGGAGATTTGTTAATTCTTGATCGGTTCCGAATCGCGCATGCGTACCATGGTTCGTGATTATTTACCCTATACAGATACGGAACTAGTCATGGATGGGCTCCGCGAACAAAGCTATTGTAGCGGATTTGAAAAAAAAACAAAAAAAAAACGTTTTTTTCTAGGTTAATTTCATGTTTTTTTTTCACATCTGAAAAAAACCGTTTTTTTACATCTCTAGTCATTAGGCATTTAAGTTTAAACAACTTGGCTACTCTGTGCAGCCCTGGATTAAGGGGGGCTAGGGGGCTATAGCCCCAGGCCCCGCCACTTAATAAATAAACATTTTTTATACCTAGATAAAATAAAACTCAAAAAGCTTTCTAAAATATAATTTGTTATGTTTTGCTAGCGGCCAACAGTAGTTGATTAGTTCTTGGCTAGCCATCAAAGGATTGTGTTAGGATGGTAAAAAATATACGCTTTTTGGATACATTTTTTTTTATTAGTTATATTTGCATAGTGCATGTGTGAGGTAAGGTAATGAAAAAGTTGAGAAAAAGTGCAATTGTGTAGAAACAATTTAATATAAAAAAATGTTAAGTAGCAGAAAATACCTTAGCGGATTTGCTAAATGTAAGGTAAGATCAGTTTATGCATTCCAATAACAAATTGTAAAACTGAAACGTCATTTTCAAAACTTTCATTAAATGGTTAAAAATCACTATAGTTTATAAACTGATGTAATAGACATATTTATTTGCTTATTTATTTTATCTTAAAGCTCAATGATATAATGTTAGTTAGTGACTTCTTGCAGGGATATGACGATTTATAAAACACAAATATAGAGCAAGGGTGATGATTATCCATTTAACTTTAATGAATATTGAGAATGATCTTTTGTCTTCATTAAACTTTGATTTTCTACTAGAGAAGCTCGAAAAAAATCGTAGTAAAGATAGTTTTTATCATTCTTTATACTAATATCTATTAAAAGTTATACCTTTGTTGTTTTTTGTTGGCTTTTTATTATTACTAAAAATTACATGTTTCTTTTAATAAAGAACTTTGAGGGCCCCCTACATTTTTTAGCCCTAGGCCCCCCTCTGGCTTAATCCGGCCCTGACTCTGTGTATATTCTAAGCCTAAATATTATTTAGGCTTGGACTGAAAAACTACTTTTCAGAGATTTTTGTTGTAATATTTGTATTTTTTCTAAAATATTTCCCACATTGCATGTTGTGATATTATATTATTATACGAAAGATAATCTTATCATTATCTCTATGCTTTTTCTACTTCAATTTAGTAAATTTCTTGATGACAAAATTTATTATAACCTTACTTTATCCCGATTTTAATGATCATTATAGTCATGCCTCATATATGTATATAAAAAATCTGTTAAGAAATTTTAACCTTACTTTATCGAAATTTAAAACCCGATTGGTTCATGGTGAATATTGACATCAGCATCACTGATGCTCAACAACGTAAATAATGAGTTCATTATTCCCGTTGTTAGGCGTCGCGGTTATATTGGTTACAATATTTATTTTTTAAACAAAAATTGTTTATGTTATATAAATAAACAGTCTCAAAACATAATAACAAAAATAAATTTTAACAAAAACCTTATTACTCAAAAACTTCTTGTCAATTTTTTTAAAATTCTTGTTATATATATATGTATACAGGGGCTAGCAATAAAGCATATTGTCATCAACTTAATTTTGGGTAATTTTTGGCAAATATTTTTAAAATTATCTTTTACTTATAAGTGAACACTGCATACCCAAATATTTTAGTAATGCTATTACGAAAACATTATTTATACAATTTATCCGAAATTTTGGCCATTCACTTACTGTGATGGGAATGTGCCGGCTCTCTAAACGCCCCACCTGTAACTTTTGACAATTCAAAATATTTTTTATAAGATATTAAAAAAATCCGGCTACATAATGTATGCACCGTGTCTAAAGTTATCTGCTGACCATTGCTACCGTTCTAACTCCGTTACCCTTGTAGCAATTCCGGAAAAGTCTTGGCCCAGCATGGGTCAAGATACTTTGGACAGATTTTTGCTCAAGAATTGTACAAGAATTGTTCCAGATTCTTGGCCAAGATTATTGGGCAAGACTTGAGCCAGACTGTGGCCAGAATTTGACCAGAAATCTGAGGCCATCTATTGCTAAACTTTGGGACTATCCTATAGAGTAGAGGTTCTCATTCTACAGTAGTATCATTCACAATAATGTATACTAGTCGAGAAGTGAGTTCTCTGTAGGAAATGAGTATAGTTTTTTTGTTTATGTGAAAATACGAATAAGAGCTTATTGGATTCGTCTTCTAGCTGAGAAAAAAATTGATTTTTTGAAAAATAAAAATTGTTATTTCTAAAAATCAAAAATTAAAAAAAAGGGTGTGTCAGCTCTGACGCATAACTAGAGTTTACTCTTTATGAACATGAAAGATTATAAAATACATGTTTATTTTTACGGGCACCTGGTTTTTTTTTAACATAGAAAATTAAAAACTTTAACTCTTTCAAAATTTGTTTCGTTTTTAATTCTATTGTTTACCAGATTTATGGATAAAAACCGAATTTACTGGAAAGAAATCGTGGAAAATTAATGTTTTTAGTAACATTCTTAACTTTTGAAGTTCAACAAAATTTTGTATTGACCAAAAATCTTGAATTGAAAGTTCCTATTTAACGTGTAATCGTGTAAAAATTGTTGGCCAAGAATCTGGTCAAATTATGGTCACAGACTTGTCCAAGTCTGCCACCAGTCTGGATAAAGAATTTTGATCAAGAGTCTTGGTCAAGAATTGTCCAATTCTTTACAAAGTGCTTCTCCAAGTATCTTGACAAAGAATCTTGTCCAATTCCATTGCTACTAGGGTACTGTTGAAGCTACAAAGTCGGGACACCCTGTATATTTTTACTTTTTATATAAAAAAATGTTACTTTTATGAATATTTTGGAAACCCAAAGTTCAGTTATTTTTCTGTTTTCGTCATTTTAATCAGAAGAAATAATGCCACCAATTTGCTAATTTAATCGACTTTGTAGCTCCAATTTCCGGATTTAACCTCGCTTTTTCGCAATTTATAATTAAGCTGACTAAAATGCCCAAAAGCCACTGTTGCTAACTTCAGATCGTGACTAAAACGCCATAAAGTCACAGCTTATCAATGGAGGAGTAAAATATGTTTGTTGCTAGTACATAAAAATCTTCTTTTCTGCTTTTAGTTATTTGAAAAAAACACTGGAAAACTACGTCCAACAAGATTACAGTTTAGTGTACTTTCACTATGGCCTTTCAAGTAAAAACAAGCCTTCATTGGGTTGGCTGGTGCAGGCCTACAAAGCTTTCGATAGAAATTACAAGAAGAATTTGAAAGCTTTGTATTTAGTGCATCCCACAAGTTTTTTGAAGTTTGTTTCTCAACTGTTTAGACCTTTGATAAGCGCCAAATTCGGCAGGAAGTTGAACTACATTAATTCTTTAAAGGAGCTTGATGAACATATTAAGATTAACATTTTGGATATACCACATGAAGTCATAGAGTAAGAATTTATGTTTTTTACACTATAGGTTTTAACTGTGAAAAACAACAACTCTAAAAGTCATTTCTGTTTTTTGATATTATAGATTTTTTTGTACAATCCCTTTTCTCTACCTACTGTGTAAAATTTTATATTTCAAGTAAAAAACCAATATTTATATTTTATTGTTAAAATATATGATGTAAATTATTTTGTTTAGGTACCTACCATTAACGTTTAAAGTATTACCTACATTTTAAAATTGTTGTCTATTTTAATTTTTTTTCATTGGTTTTTTTTAATATTTTAGATATGATCAAAAAACAAATTCCCCGCTTCCCGCAGAACCTCCAAAACCTGTTGAAACATACTTACCGACACAGCAGTTTGGTGTATCTTTACAATACATTAAAACTAATTATAACGTTTCCATACCGCCAGTTGTTAAGCAGTGTGTTGAGTTTTTAGATCATCCAGATGGTAAAATAAAATTTTTCTTCTGTACTTTTAAACGTTAAATGTAATTTAATTGCAGCATTAGAGACTGAAGGTTTATTTAGAAGAAGTGCCAATGCCATAAAAGTTAACACTCTTAAAGCAAACGCTAATAAGGGTGAAAATTTAGCGTTTGAAGATCCACATGAAGCTGCAGCTTTGCTTAAGAAGTTTCTCAGGGAACTTAAAGAGCCGCTGTTAACTTATGAGGTTTATGATGAAATTATTGACTTCCAAAGTAGGTTTTCGAAAAGTTTAACGTTGATCTTGTGTAAAATTTAATTTTTTTTTTATAGGCTGGTCTAAGGAGGAACAACTTAGGCTTGTATCAATATTAGTCATGGAAAAACTTCCAGAGGACAATTACAAATTGTTGAAATATGTTATTAGTTTCTTGAGCAGGGTAAGTACATAATTTAGTTTTGTATGTAACTTTGCAATATGAAGATTTTCAAAAAATTTCGGAATTGTTATGTTTTTGCCCATTATTTCAACATAAAAAAATATCCATATGCAGGAATCTCACACTTTCTGCCCTTGTAGTGTAATATACTATTTTTTACCCGATAGCTAACTAAACAAGTGCGCAAAGTTATATTTTTCCGCACGAACTACGAAAAGTGCGGAAAAATTACTTTGCGCATGTGTTAAAAACAATATTCTTTCTACAAGCAAGAAATACTAGTTTCCATTTTTAAATTTAACTTTTTTTCTTAGCAGATGCTACTTATATTTTATATTGAATTTTGGCAATATTTTTTAACATTATAAGCTTCATGATTTAATAATAATAATATAATAATAATTATTCCTGTATTAACGCATTTGCGTGCGGAAATGTACAACAGTGTTACTTCGATTTATTTTGTCAAGTGACATTTTGAAAAACTTTCTTCCGCGGGCGTGGCAAATCGAGACTATTTCAAACCTCCACCCTTTCTGCGTCACGAGATTTATGGACAGCCCCTGGCATCAACATCTGCTCAAATTTGCTTTTGTTTTAAGAAATGTTTTTTTTGAGAATCCTTTTTCAATCCTACAGATTTTCCTATAAATATCATATATATATTTTGGTCTATGTCAATTCAAATTTAAATGTACAAAAGAGCATAAAGAATAGTATCTATTTTATTAGTATATAACTTTAAAAATCATTTCTATGATTGATTAGGTTATGGAACGTTCAGACTTAAACAAAATGAATGCACAAAACTTGGCTGTAGTGTTTGGACCAAACTTGGTGTGGTCTGAATTGGTTTCCATGTCTCTGGCAGCCATTGGACCAATTAATACTTTTACAGCATTTCTTCTGATTCATCACAATGAAATATTTATGATTTAAATGTATTACTTATAGTATTTCTGTGATTTTGTTGCTTTTTTTACAACAAAAACTATTTTACACATAAAAAATAAACGTTTTTGGAATCGCTTTTTAGATAGCATACAGTCAAGAAAATGCTTTAAAATTTATCTATTTTTAACAGAATTACAGTCACTACTTACATATCTTATAAAATGCTGATTCATTGTTGATGATAAAATTGTACTAACAAATGTTATTTTTTATTTGTAAAATGTTTTTTCTACATGTATGGGTAAAACTGTTATATAATTATAATTGGAAAGAATGAATTTTATGTATGCGAAAAATTCGCGATGTTAGAACATATTTGTAAAATTTTAAAGTACTGAATGTGTTGCTTATTTTACAAAACAACATGTAAAGACTTAAAAAAACATAGATAATAGAATAAAAGTGTAAAAAGAATATATACCATAACAAATGTAGTAGTTTTGTATAATATACTCTAAGCATACCTACCTAGTAATAAATGATATTTTAAAAATATTTCTTATTGGTGGGTATACTAGTTTTTATAAAAACGATTAGTCAAAATACCAAAGAAACTTTTGATAATTTATCTATTAGACGCCCAGAAATTTAGCGCTACATTTGTTTGTATTGTTTTTTATGAAGGAAGTTGATTAATTATCAAATTGCATTTAAAAAAAATTAACAACTTCTAGTTGATAGAATCTCCAAAATTACGCACAAACATCGTAAGCTTTATTAGATTTATTGTTGAACAATGTATAAATTCAATTTTAATTTATTACATGTAAAAATTTTGTCATTAAACAAAGAGCATAGTAAAATAAGGCCCCTATAATATTATGTAAACAAATTTATAGGGGTCCCTCATTTAATTAAAAACATTACTTTTTATGTAAAATGTTTGTTAAAAAAGTTTTGATTTTCGGAATAAAAATATGTGTCATATTTGTTCTACAAAATACTAATTTATTTACATGCCTTTAAATGGTCATTTAAAATTTTATTAAAAACCTATATCTGCACAAAATTATATAAGTGATATAATTTGCATTGTACTGTATAAAATGTATTTATACTTTATATATTTATCTACTCTTTACAGTGCAACAATACAAAAATTACCTACAGGCGGTTAGGATGGGTCAATAGTACTATTTTTGTGAAACAAAACCCCCAAAGAATTTTTAAAATTTAGCTCCACTTCAAAAGTTATGGCCATTTGAAGTTAGGGTGACTTATTTGCATTGCATACTTTATTATTTGCCAATATTTATTTCAAAGTATTTTATAATAAAAATTGCAATGATGATATAATGGAATTTAAAAATTCAAGTTTGTCATTAAGGTAAATAAAAATCATATGATTTATTGGCAAACTGTTAAGTAACATTTAACTTTAAACGGACATAACTTTTAAAGTGAGCTAAATTTTAGAGTGAATCCAGGTAATTTTTAATAAACCTAAAATTGTTGCATAGTATTAGTTAAAGTTGTATTATGTATTTTAACAATTACAAAAACTTATGGGAACTTAATTTATTATTTTTTATACTATTAGTAATTTGTGCTACCTACCTCTGTATTCTACTAGTTACTAACCATTCCATAAAATTGTAAATTAAAACCTATTTTTATACTTTCATTAATATTTTATTTTAATGTGTTAAAATTTTCAATAAATCTTAAGTTAAAGTTTGCTTTTTATTGCTGTTAATACATTATCGACCTAAAATTATAATTGTTTAGCAAATTTTCAAATAAAATACCTAATACTTACAGAAGTAAACCACCACCCACAAAACATTAGTCGACTTATTAAACTCATATCTTTACAAGGACTAATTAAATGTAAATGCAAATGGGATATAGAATTAAAGGGTGGTTTATGAAATCCCATTAACATATCCTCTGTATCCCCACCCAGTTCTTCCACTATTCGTTTACCATTCTCAAGCAGTTGGTTTACTTTAAAATAATCGATTAATGAATTAAATAAAACTTAACACAAAACATACTTAACGGTATATCACTTTTCGTTAATGAATTAACATTTACAATATGTTTTTTGGGTATTGCTAAGACGTGAACTTTGGAAGCAGGTTTTATATCTTTGAACACTAGTAATTCGTCGTTCTCAAAGTATTTCGTGCTGGTCACCTCATCGGAAATTATTTTACAGAATATACAATTTGTTGACATAATAAAAAGGTAAGAAAAACAGTATAAATTCACAAAATCCGGTAAATATAAGTTATAACCTTGAACATGTATGGGTGACAGTAGTTCAAATGAACTGTCAGATAAACATCAAAGCAGTACTGTGAGGTTATGTGAAAATGGAATCGGAGGAATTAATAGATTGTTATTTGGAATTGTCCAAAGATCCTGTAAGATTCGAAGCGGTTAATCAGTTAACGAACGTGTTTTTCGATGACTCTAACAAAGATGTAAGGTGTATTAACATTAATTAAATTAGTTTGATAAAAAATCGTGTTTAGGTATTTGCTGTTCGATCTGGGGGCGTTATGGGGGTCGTAGTTAAAGGACCAAGTAACCAACACAAACCCCTAAAATTTCGTATGGAAGACCATGGCCCAGTTCTATCAATAAAGTTCTCCTTAGACCACAAAATATTGGCTGTTCAACGAACAAACAATTCTGTCGAATTTATGAATTTCAATGGGGATTCCATAGAAGCCGAATATTCTCAGCCGTCGAAAAAAAGTTCAAACATTCTGGGATTTGTGTGGGTTAATACAAATGAGGTGGCTTATATTACGGATCATGGAGTGGAGTTGTATATGGTTATCTCTGAAAAAAAGTCTCTTAAATTTTTGAAAACAACTTCTATTGCTGTTCAATGGTTTGTTTGGTGTTCTTTGAATAAAATTGCGTTGTTGGCTTCTGCACATGGTTCCATACTTCAGCCAGTTGTGCTTAGTGGGGGGTCTATAAGTAAACTTCCAAAAGTTGAGAGTAAGTAGATAAGTATTAATAATAATTAATAATTATTACTTTTATAGAAATAAATATATTTTTTTTAATTTAAAAACGAAAAATGTTTTTTAGCTGAGCCAGGTAGGATGGCCCTAGAAAGAGATGTAACTTTGGCCACTTTATATGGAGTACCAGCAGTTTTAATCCTCAGACATCAGAGTGGGCCACAAACTGCAGAGGTGCATGTGCATACATTAAGTGGGCCTGGACAGGCACCTGTTAAAAGTCATGTTTTAAAACTTGGATTATCAGGAAGATTTGCTATTAATGTAGTGGATGATCTCATTCTAGTTCATCACCAAGTAAGTTGTCCAATAGACTGGGCCAAAAAAATCAACTATTTTTTTTTGAAAAGTATATCGAAAATATTGTTTGGGGTGACAAAAAAAATTATGGTGAAAGTTTGAGTTCATATATATTATATATAATATTCATATTAAGAGGTCTATCATCGCAATTTAAGATTTTTTTCCTGAGCAAGTTTTTGTCTTAGAACTCCCAAACCATTGAGTTTTATAAAATTGTCTTAAGAGTCTTTTTTGAAGAAAATTGAATGCTCTACAAAAAAGGTTTGATTGGAACTTTCCGTCAGATTAACCGTTTTCTTACAATCATGCATTAAATATTTGTATAGTTTTCCATTTGATTTTTTAACTTTGGAATTTTGTAATTCATGTAAAGATCAGTACCCGGAAAAAAAACCGATAGATATTCTTATGGGAAATCAAATGCTCTACAAAAAAAAGTCTCCTCACATTTTTGGCTAAATTCACTCCATTAAAAGTTAGTCAAGGTTAAATTTGAAGTCAAAACGAAATTCTTGTTTTTTCCGCTCTAGATTTTTTTTGGGTCAGTTAACAACTTGAATTCTTTTATCGATGATAATCTTTATATTATTGATAAAATTACTGAAAATTAAAAAAAATATATCACATTAGAATTTTTTCGCTTTAAAAGCTATTTTCTTTAGAATAGTATATTCTATAACAAGTTTGGAATACCTACAGCATATTCCGCTCGAGTGAAGAGTTTGTCACACGAGCCGAAGGCGAGTTTGACGGTTTCACGAGAGAGGAATATGCAATTCCAAACGTGTTTCAGACTTTTTCTACGTTTCCAAAAAATACCATAGAAAAATAATTTAATTGGAAGAAAGTGAGGTTGGATCGGTCTAAAATTTGTTAAATATTAAAAACAGAGATGTCGCCACGAGTGTTTATTCTGTCATCCCATGATAGAATATTTCATTCTGTAACACTTTACGGAATATATGTCATTCCATAGATAAAAGGGATCTTAGAACGGTCAAATTCCGTAATAGGAGTAGAAAAAATATTATTTTCACTGTTATCTATTTAATCGTTTAAATAATAACAATCATGTTGTTTTTTTATTGGAAATTGTTAATTAGTTATAGTTATTACACATTTATAAAGAAAAAAATTATCATCCATAAAAAAATGAATCTGCAGAGGAAATACAAGAATTTCGTTTTGACTTCAACTTTAACCTTGAATAACTTTTGATTGAGTGACTTTAGCCAAAAATGTTAAGAGACTTTTTTTGTAAAGCATTTGATTTCCCATAAGAATATTCATCGGTTTTTTTCTGGGTACTGATTTTTACATGAATTGCAAAATTCCAAAGTTAAAAGATCGAAATGTAAAACTATACCAATTTTTAAGGCATGATTTTAAGGAAACGGTTTATCTGACGGAAAATTTCATTTTGACCTTTTTTGTAGAGCATTTAATTTTCTTAAAAACATATTTCCATGTCAATTTTGTTAAATTCAATGGTTTGGGAGTTCTGACACAAAAACTTGCTAAGGAAAAAAAAAATTAAAATTGCGATGATAGACCTGTTATTATTAATATTATGGACTCAAACTTTCTCAATACTTTTTTTTTGTCACCCCAAACCATATTTTCGATATACTTTTCAAAAAAAAAATAGTTGATTTTTTTGGCCCAGTCTATTGTCCAAGTGTAGAATTGTATTTTTTATTTACCTACCTTTTATTAATAATTATTATCAGGCTTCCAGGAGTTCCAAAGTATTTGATACAGCATTGTCAGGAGAGACTGATGGTACTGTAAGGTACCATACCTCAATTGCTCCAGCAAAATCATTTAAACCAGCAACTTTAGATATACCTGGTTTGGTTGAACCACAAACTCATGATTGTGAACTTTGTATCCTTTTACTGAATATTTTCTTTTTAATATTATAATATTTAAAAAAAAAGTTGTTTCATCTTCAAAAAACTAAGAGGAGATTGAACATCCTAACACATTTTATAAACTGTATTAGTTTCCTTACCAATCAATAGATTCACCCAATTGGGTTGTATTTCAACCAAATGTAGTAATAGATGCAAAATTAGGATGCTTATGGCATATTTATTTATGCTTACCTGAATTTAGTAGACTTATTCCAGATTTAAGCATTTGTACTCAAGTAACATTAAAGAGAACTGATGCCAAAGAGGTTCTCCTAAAGGTAAGTTATTTTTAAGTTATAGGTATATATACCTATAACTATATATATATATAACACATGAAAAGTTTCTATAGATTTTGAAAATAGACTTAAAAAAATGATACCCGTGTCTCGGCGTTTTTTTCAGATTACGTCATTTTTATTTTTTTGTGCGATCTAATAAAATTTTATCCACGGTATTCGGCATAAAATATAACAGCTTCGATAACAGCTAGACAGTATATTTTTATGAATAATTTATTCACTGAATAAATGAACAATCATTAAAATTATTTATTTATTTTAAAATTATTTTAATTTTATACAGGGTGTTGCACATTTACGAAATACGGGTGTTTCACGTTCATGGTCCATTGAGAGTTTCTGAGGAACAGCAAAAGATATCGATTTGAAATTTTTAAATCGTTTATAATCCAGTTAAGCCTATTTTTATAAAATATTTTAAACAAAATGCCATTTCCGGTTTGACTGGAAGTGACATCAACTTTGTTATTTTAAATAGAAGACTCCATATGTTTTTACATTTTTAAATTCTACATAAAATTTTAAGTAAAATTTCTGTACCATGTCCTTTACCTAAAGTGAATAGTTTTTGAGTTATTAATTTTTTTCCTTAAAATATAATCTGTTAAAATATTTCATGTGAGGAAAATCGTGTTGTACTGTGTAATAATAAAATAATATTTTTGGTTTTTAAAATTTGACAAGATTTTTTAGATTTTATTAGAAAGCATTAAACAAGAAAAACCCGACCTCTACAAAATTCAAGAAGCTTTTAACCATATAAACAGCGTTTACCGTTCTTGGGCAGATGAAACAGTGCTAAATCAAATGGCCAATTCTCCTGGAGTGCCCATACCATCAAGAACCACGCCAAATACACGTGTATTAATTGACCAAGAAGACATATTTGATGGTATTTTCGTTAAATTAGATAACGAGGATGATTTAGGGAAACTTGAATGGGTCTTGCTTAGTTATATCACTAGCTTGGCTGAGTATGGTATTGCAGTGAATCATAACTTAAATGAACTCACTGTCACTACCTTGGTAAGTTAATAAGTTTCAGATTTTTTTAATTTTCGTTTTTAAAAAATTCACATAAGTAGTTTTAAGAAAATTTTTACTTTTTCGTATAAAGGTCAAAAAGTGCTGAATTTCGTCTTACGCACTGCTAATCTCGAGGCTTTTGTTCTTTGCTTATCTTGTTTTGCCGCTTTACCTTCTTCACTACATTTACAATTACAGATGCTTAAAACGGTCCGTTTTTTTTTGATTTTTTTTTTCAGGTTTTATTTCATTGTTTTTTTTCAAATGTTTTTTTTTCACATTTTAGGTTTTTTTAAGATTAGTCCCATTTGCCTAATTTTTTATGTTTCCATGGACTAAAATTAGCCACTAAATGACAATTATTAAATGTAAATACAGTCTCGCGTCATGCACTCGCCACAACCACCGATTTGACCAATAAGGGCCGCGCTTGTTTTGATTTGGTCCTAAAAAAAGTAACTACATATAATATTTTTGATTCACCGCTTGATTCTTCAAAAAGCACTTTTTTCATGATTTTTCAAATTTATGTAGTATGGAATTTTTTTTTCAAAAAACAATAGCAAATTCTTGTAGAACATTTCTTCATTGGTGGTCAGAACATTCCGTGGACCAAAAAAGAAATAAAAATAAAATCGATTTTTTTTATTACGGTATTCGTTAGAATTGAGCGTTGCACGTTTTTCATCTAAAAATCTCAAAACTATAAACTTCAAGCTTCAAATTGTTTTTTTACGGCTCCAATACGACCATTTTTATCAAATATACAGCTATCCGAAAAATCGCAAAAAATAATTTTATCCTTTAATTTTTTGTATTAGTTTAGAAGTTTTACATTGCTATTGGTTTTTAATGTGGAAACTACCAAATAATAAGAAATCAGATTTTTTTAGTCTTGGTCAAAATTTTCAATAATGAAAAATGTAATATATTCTACATTTTACTCAAAATTTCATTTTGAAAAAAAAAAACAAAAAAACGTTTTTTTTTCTAGTTTTTTTTTCATGTTTTTTTCACATCTCTATTTACAATACAAAATAAATTTTGTAATGTTACAGGCTCGACGAGAAAAATTCACAGCTCTTCAACAATTCCTCCAATATGGCGTAGTCAGCGACTCAAAACCACTGGCATGTTTGCTATTGTCGCTGGGCAACATGCATCCAGCCGCATTGCAGATGGCGCTGGATATGCTGGCCAGAATTGATGCCAAAGAAGAGATTCAGGAGGTTTTGTTAAGCGAGGGACAAATTTTATCAGCACTTAAATTAGCGGGCGAATCAGCAAATCCAAGAAAATTCTTGAGCGCTGCTGAAAGCGCAAACGATAATACCTTGTTTCATAGCGTACTTTTTCATTTTAGAAATAGTCCGCAGTTTGCTGCTACCTTTAAAAAAGATGAAAGACTTATAAAGTTTGTTCAACATTACACTACAATATTCCAAGATATGTAAAGCTTTAATTTATAAATTATACAGGGTGTTTAAAAAAACATGCGCTACTGAAGATTCCTCATCCAAAAATAAATGCTCGGTTTATAAGATTAAAAAATCTTCTTTTTGAAATATCTTAAATATAGTTTGCCCGATTTTGTTGAAATTTTGCAACGTTATTTATACGTTTTGTCAATGTTCTCGAAAAGGTCTTGATTTATCAAAAAATAATAAGGGGTAGTTTTTGTTTAACTGGAAAAAGGTGCAAAATATGCGTTTTGTCAATTTTCATGCAATAATATGGTTTTTATTAGGGATGTAACGATACAGCAAATATCGGACGATAGGATACCAACAGCCTATTAATAAGTAAATAATAATATGACTTTATTGCAGTGACATTTACATACAAGTAAATACTGCAAAATTTATTAATAATTTATAATTATTACAATCATAATTTCCATTTTATAACAATTTTTATTAATAATAATATTTAATGAAATAATTATTAAATAATATATATTTTTATTAAAGGTGAAACTATGTATAATGGTTATTATTCATTTAATAGGTACTTTGTTAATAATTAAGGTTTACCTTTGAAAGATTTTTATTTAGAATACAAAGTTTATTTAAATTATTTGCAGACAATCTGTTGCGCAAATCTTTTGTATGTGGCCTGCAGTTCAAGCTTAATTTGGATGTTTTTCCTCATAACGCCAATAGTTCTTTGGATCTGACTTTCTTGAAATATTCCCAGACAGCACAAAATATCCATTAGATATCCATTGGATATACTTTTTGGATATCCAAGATATCCACTGGATATTCATGGATAACCATTAGATATCCTATAGATATCCAAATGTCCGCCTATATCCAGGATATAGCAAATATCCAATGGATATCCACATAGATATCTAGCTGATATCCAGTGGATATCCATTGGATATATTCCAATTTTAAATTTTGGTTGGATGTAGTGAGAAAAATATCTGAGCCTTGTTGAGTTTGTTATGTATGCTGCAGTACCAACATGTTGATACTATATTTTTTCAAAATATTATATAATATTTTATACCCTGTGAAAAATGGCGATTTTAAAAGTTTTTTTTAATGGAACATCTATTTATATTTATTGAATGTTATACCTATGTTGTACTTAATTTTAGTTAATTAAAAAAAACATTACATTACTTACTAAAAATATAATATATGATGGCCAATTGAATAAAAAAAATAATTTTCAAATACTTAATCATTTTTCAGGGGGTATAACACTGTATATTTTGAAAAAATATAGCAGGCAATAAGAGCAAATATACAAAATAAAAAAACTTAAAAATGGTCAATTATTTTTTTCATTAAATACATCCAAACTTCGAAATTGGAAGAAATTGCTACTGTCTTTAATAATTTGGCAAACCACTTGACATGAATTAATTGTATTTTGATTGAAAGGTATAGAAAAACATCAATGAATATGTTTATAATATTTTATTTGTAATTATAAACAAAATTATTATTTATTAACTTATTAATTAAATTATAATTTATTCTGGTAGAGGCATTATATCATTGTTTTTCTTGCTGTAAAAGAAAAAAAATTACCTAATTTACAATAATAATTATTGTAATAGTTTACTTTATAAAGTAAACATACTTGTACAAGCAGACATCTAATACACATGCATGTCTAATAAATTAGTAGTTTTACCTAGGTAGGTATTAGTTAAAGCAATAAAAAACATCCCGCCATAGTTAACAGAAGCCGGTAAATAAACAAGGCCTCAAATATAAACCAAAATCCCAATGTAATGTGTGTGTGCAATATGAAAGACACCTATAATATATACACCACAATACCACACAACCAAACAAGAAATAAAGGCACTTACCTACCGTAAAAACAATAAATATGATGCGAAAACTGACACTTAAAAACACAATCTTAAACCGGCAGAGACATGGCCCATGGGAGCACAATACGCAAGCGCTTCGGCCTGGCCAATGATTCTCGAGAGTCTCATGTGACGTAGTCTAAAATAGTGGATATCCATTAGATATACATTAGATATCCATGAAAACTTACCTTAAATTATACTTCTAATTTCATAGGTTGTATCTCATAAACATAATGCTTAAAAAACGTCTAGAATAATTTTAACTGAAACAATCCATTTTTATCTTTGGCTCTAGATATGTAGTTATAATATCTATGTGGACATCCACTGGATATCCATTAGATATCCATTAAAGTTTTATTTATTTCAAAGTGAATTATTAGAAATATCAAGGCATGTGTGAATAATGTATTAATATATTTGTCTCTAATATTTATTAGTCAATTTTGACGCAAATTGTCCTTATGCTAATATTCCTAAAGTATATCCATTGGATGTCCACTGGATATCCGTTCATGGACTGGACATTCAGTGGATATAGGTATATCCAATGGATATCCAATGGATATTGTGTGCTGTCTGGGTTGAAACCTCTTCTTGAGGGGAATTCTGTTAAGTAAAGTAAAAAGTGTGTTTTACTTGTATATCGCCTATATTTTAATGATTGCAGTGGTTATTTAATAAATGACCAATAGAATCCAATAAAAAATAAGTAATTGGTTTGAAATGTGTTTTGGCGCTATGAATCACCAATTCATTAAAGTTGCATTCCTATTGGTAAGTTCCAATAAAGTCAGAGGCTTGGATTGGAAAATACCAATCCATGCCTATGCTTGTCTGTATTGGCTAAATCCAATAGAAATGCACATGGAATGAATTGGTAATTCATAGCGCGAAACCCTTTCCAACCAATTAATATTTGGATTAGAGAATACCTACCAGTTTTTCATTCAAAAATAATTTTAGATCCCAGAAGGATAACCTGTTAAAAACCAGAATTCATTTTTCACAGAAGAGACAAAAAAAATTATTGTTACTGAGTAATTTTATTTCTTTATTATTTTTTTGTGATATATGTAGGTATTGATTTATAACTTACTATCACAAAAAAAGTAATAAAAAATAAATAAAATTGCTCGGTTGTAATCATGTTTTTGTCTTTCTTGTAAAGGATGTTAGTAGGCATGGTCGCGACCATGCCTACTATATCGACTTCGCAAAGTCGATATTGTTAACAATATCGAAAAAAATTGACATAGGTAAATTTACCTATGTCATTTTTTTCATTTTGTCCGCTGTGACAACCATTCTTACGCCATCGTCCCTAAACCTTACACATATAAACATTTTTTTAAGATATAAGTACACTACTATCACTAGGCACTTAACACAGAAATCGACTAATAAAAAAAACCTCTAATAAATGGCGTCCAAAGACTTGTTTGTGTTGTTTTTTCTTTATGATGGCGTCTCAACCTCGTTGGTTTTGCGCAGCTACACGAGAGCCCTTTTGCGATAGTTGTATTGTATTGGGAATAACCAATTAGCAGATTTTTCGAATCTTACACTTGGAATGCCCAATTGAATTCAATTGGAAATTACCCATGGGTAGCTTTATCCAATCGAAACCGCTAAAAAACGTTAGAATCCTAATTGCATTTTTCCATATTTTAAAGTATTAGGAATAACCAATTTGCATATTCCTTTTTGAATTGAATTTAATTGGAAATTAAATCCAATCCAATCGAAACCAATAAAAAACATTAGAATCCTAATTGGACTTTTCCACCATGGAAAATACCAGTAAAAACCAATTTCTGTTTTATATCGCGCCCAATTAAATCCAGTAAGTCCAATTCAGACCCATTGATACCAACCAATACTTCAATTGGTTTCTACAGGAATTAATCGGTCATTTACAACAGGGTGGTTTTGTTTTTAAAGAGACCTAATTATTTTTGGACTCGATTTGGCAACAAAATAATTTTAAAAATTTAATAATTATTATTAAATTTGCCGATCCGGACGATACTGATACTCAACCGATATCGGTATGGTTACATCCCTATTTTTTATTTTTTCCTGTCTAAATCGAGGTAAGATTCGAAAACAACTCAAGAGACAAAAAAGTCGTATTTTTAGTGGCTTAGTCAGCAAAAGTCAGTGGCGTAAATTTTTTGTCCTAATACTCGATAAGATCCCTCCCAGGACGCCACTGGATTTGGCAATTTTAATCTAGTCAAAACAAAATTATTAAAGTTGCCAAATTTCAACAAAATCGGGCAATCGATATTCAAGGTATATTAATAAAGCTGTTTTTTCTAATCTTACACCTTAAAAACTAAGCATTTCCGGACCTAAGTTATATAAACTTTTTTTTTTGGATCAGAGCATTGGCGCATTTATTTAATACATATAGTCTATTTATAACACATTAATTTTTAATTTAATATAAGTAATTATAAAAAATAAAAACATTATAGTTTCTTTGGGTTTTTTATTTTTATTTAAGTACTTGTTACAAAACAAACAATGCATTAAAATACTATAGACTTAAACCTAATACAGTGGAATGACTAGTGCAACAAAATCACAACAATTAAAATCTGGTATATACATCTTTATAAATAAAATAATATGCAATATAAATATATGATTCAAGCTCTATCCCCAGCAGAGCCATTTGCAGCATGATCAGGATTGGCCAGGGGATCCAATTCAGCAAAAAGGCTCAGCCAAGACATTTGGTTTGCAGTGTCCATTTTATTCACCTTAGGTTTACTATTCGATTCTTTTGCGGTTTGTTGGTCGTTTTTAGTTTCTAGAGGCGCGGTAAAGTTAAATGAGCTGTCTTCAAACAACTTGGACGGCATAAAGTCACCACCAAGAAAATCCGAGTTTGATGGCCAACCTAGGTCTAGTAAAGCAGAGCTCGGTTTGGAATGGTCAAGTTTCATTGGTTGAGATTCTAGGGTGGGATTGAAATCCTCTCCCAGTAAGTTTGTGACATCTGATTCTGACTCTTTTGTTCTATAATTAAAAAAAAAAATAATTTTATAGTTTTCATTAGGGTTTTAAAGTGTCGGAAAAAAACCGGAAAAATTGGGGAAAAAACCTGTTTTTTTCGTTTATTTCCCAGGAAAATATACCTACACATTTGAAAAAAGTATAAATCAACAACTTAACATTATTTTAATTTTAATTTAAAAAAATAAAACTAAACAAAATTAAAATTAAATTGATTTAAAAAAATAAACGTAAACGTGTTGGTTGGGTATTTTTTGCAAAAAGAAGTCCATAAAAAATATCCAACTACAAAATAATAAATGATTTATAAAGTTAAATTACAAAATTATAATTTTATAAATCGAAGTGTTAAATAAAAGTTATGATAAATTATCATTGATAATACAGCACCGGTAGAATATTCTTACTGTATTAAAGTAAAAAGAATAATTATTATAATCAGAGTTGGAAATTCACTTTTTTCTCGATATCAGTGTAAGGATATCATCCGTAAAAGTTTGGAAATTTTCAGAAAAATTGACTTGCATTTTTCATATAACCCTTTGAATAAAATTTAAAAAATGAAAATTTTAAAAGTAGTAATTTTAAATTTGATGAACTTTAAGCAAATACATAATTTTACTTACATTTCTTTTTGTTCCCCTTCCTTGTCACTCTTGGGTGCTGAATCAGAATACTCAGCATTAAAAAAGGTATTTTTATCCTTATCAGATTCAGATTCAGAAGGTGTTGCCAGCTCAATACAAGCAGTGAAATCATAAGGTTTAACATGGTTTAACTTTGTATTGGCAAGACTCTGTGTCTCTGCAGCTTTGGTAGCAAAATTCAAAATGGCATTCTGATAAGGAATCAATGCATGTGAAAACATATTGCATCTTGCTGCAGCCAACAAATCAACTTTCTGGAGGCATGCAAGTGTGAATTTATCAAACTTATCCTTGGAAGTTTTTACATAAGACTGAGCTTTACGAAATCTATCCAAACCATGCCCTGTATCTGGGTCTAGTTGAGCAGAAGCTGACTTCATCCAGCTCAAAGCAGCTCTGTATTCAGTTCTGGCTTTTTCCATTTCAGACAATGTTCCTCTGGTATCTGTTACTGCTCTACCTCTGAATGTCTCCACTTCATGATGCAATCTCACCAAAGGAGGTCTAACGGTCAATCTTTGGTGTCCAGTGTAGGCCAAGGCCTTGCCAGCTGTTGACATTAATTGGGCGGCACTTGCATTTTTTTCTGCTTTGCCGCACTCCTTTAAATACCTGAAAATAGATGCTTATGACACAGCTTCCCAGTAAACATTTGTGATTGCCTATTGAAATCACTCCGAAATCCCGTCGTGACATCGTGATATCACTGGCGCATTCATATGTTTCCACAATACACAATCAATGGGATATCAAGTAGTGACATTCAAGCGCAATACGCACTCAATGGGATATCACTCCGTGCGCGTGCGCGAGCGAAAGTGCAGGGGAATATTTAAAATATGTTGGAGCTGTGATAAACGAAAAAAGCGTCGTCGCTATCGTTAATAGCGATGCAACGTCTTTTAAAACACGTTGCATCGCTAGTAACAATAGCGACGACCCTCTTATCGTATATCACAGCTTCAACATACTTCCGGCCTTAGCTGAAATAAAATTATGGGCTAAAATATTAACAGTCAACGTTTATTTAAATATAATAATAATCAGACAAGTTTTGCATACTACCTTTATACAGGGTGCATCAAGTATCCTATAAGTATAATACCTACATGTATACAGGGTGTCGCAGATTTTAATTGGGAAAATTTAGTATCTATAGAAATCGAAATTATCACAAGAAAAGTATGTATGTTTTAAAGCTTCGTTTTCGAGAGACAGGGTGGTAAAGTTATTTAAAAAAATATTTATTTTTTGGGCGAATTTGATAAAAACCTTTTAGGTTTTTAGTGGTGGAAGGCTCTGGAACATCCCAAATTGATATTTAAAAATAAAATTTGGGTAAGCTACTGCTTTTTTGTAAGTTTATTATTATTTATAGATTAAAAATAAAACGGAAAAGAATTTAATTTTTTTCTTCAAAATTAAACTTTAAAGCATATACCCTAATAACACAAGTATATACTAGAAACATGCCAGAAACATATGCATGCGACAATAGAAACATCCCAGGAATGACCCTATTTTCCCACAGATATACCAGAAATGTTTCTGGCAATGACCATGTCGCCCTTTTTAACGTCCCTCGGCCATCCTTTTGGGATGTTTTGAGATCATCTTAGAATGTTGTAGGTATGTCTTTAAGACATTTTATATTTACTTTCAGAACATAACAGAAATGTTTCATACAAAACATTTATGAAATTTTTATAGGTTTTTGCCTTAAATAAAAAACATTAAATACTTTTATCATTTAATTAACATAAAACCATTAACATAACTGAAAATACGCATAAATAAAAATAAATAGATAAAAATTTACAAAACTCTTCATCGATGAAACAAAATTCCCCAGGTAAAAATCACTTAAACTAGTACGAGGTCATTTTTCGCGGTCAATTTAAAAATTACAAAGTATAATAATTTGGTGTTTTGCTAAAAATTGATTGGTTATTTTTTTAATAGAGTGTGTTATGTGTTTTGATATAAATTTATTTTATATTTGTACCAATATCAGCTATTTAAAATGTTTATGCAACATCTTGGCGTTTTTGCTAAATTGATAGGTTATTTTTTTTAATAAAGTGTGTTATGTGTTTTGATATAAATTTATTTAATATTTGTAACAAGTTGGTTACAAAACAAAACAAAATTCCCCAGGTAACAATCACTTAAAAAGTAACTAGTATGACGTCATTGTTCGCGTTCAATTTAAAAATTACAAAGTATAATAATTTGGTGTTTTGCTAAAAATTGATTGGTTATTTTTTTAATAGTGTGTTATGTGTTTTGATATAAATTTATTTTATATTTGTACCAATATCAGCTATTTAAAATGTTTATGCAACATCTTGGGGAAATCACACCAGAAATGTTACTGAGGAAACATCGCAGGGATATACGATTTAAGTCCGAAACATTGGGGCATAAATAGTACATAAATTGTATGTTTCTGGCATGTATTGTGTTATCTGGGTAAGTTCGCATAAACTTTTCTTCTTACTTTTGCGAGTTTTGTTTACTATTAAATTAAAATTAATAATTTATTAATTATTGAACTCAAAATTTATATTGCAGCGAGTTTATTAACAGAATTATTTATATTTTATAAAATGCAATTAGTTCATTCAATTCTGAGAAACAAAGATCAAACAAATTTTTTTAATCATGACGACTCGTCATTAGGATATCGTTAACGATAAAAGTGACGTCTCGTAAAGTATCGAAGTCTCGTCATTTTTTTTTTGTTATGCGTATCGTCATTGTTGGTAGGGTTAAAATGAAATTTATAAATTGAAAAAAAGGCAGCTGTTCTCAAAACTTTTGAAAAAAACTAAAAGCCTTTTAAACCAAAAATCTTCATAGCTTTGTTATTCCTGGGAATAAAAAAAAAGTAAGTTTGATCAAAGTCGACTTGTTAACATACACAATTATCTACATTTTCATCCAATTTATTCGTTACTTTGAGTTACCATCACCATCTGTTGTTTTTAAAATGGCCATGGCGATGGTGCACCATTAACTTATATAGTTTAATAAATCGATTTTTTTACTATCCAACTATGTAAAATTGTATTATGGCAGCCATAGCAAAACCAAAGATGGTGATAACTCAAAACCAAGTAGACAACAAAATTTATAAATTGTTAATGTAGAAATGTATACATGCGAAACTTACTTTTTTTTAATTCTCAGGAATAACAAAGCTATGAAGATTTTTGGTTTAAAAGGCTCTTAGTTTTTTTTCAATTATGTGAGAACCGCGGATTTATTTTTAATTTTCAAATTCCATTTTAATAGACTTGTAATTACATAACTTTTCTTCAGTTTAATGGCTTAACCAACCTGCACGTGCCGTGCTGTGCACCCTGTATATGTATACATAAATATGTGTATACGAGACCCGTCGCATATAAGTTGGGACAGTGAATTCAATAGTTTCAGTAAATCCACGTTATCTCCCAGTTTTTGGGCAAAGTATGATATTTCTTATAGTATAATTCTTGTTGACATTTAAAAACCTACAACAATATCTTTTCACTCTTGACAATATTAATAACAGTTTTACACCTTAAATTAATTTGGAATAAATTTATTCCAGAGCAAATGGAGTATACAATATATTGTTCACCATGTAAGTATACCTTACTATAGCAAGATACATACGTACTATTAATACGTATTATGAACAAATTAAAGTAATGTCAATTAAATGAAAAGTTTCGTCCCTGCGGGGTCACGTCGTTACATAAAAAGATCACGCGCATGTCACTGCTTGACATAAAACGATAAACTTAATCACTGTGCCAGCAATTGGATATCAAGTTGTGACATGTCACGTCGTGACTTTTTCGTGATATCACAAATGTTTACTGGGTTTATGTATTAAATATGTAAAGATATTTATTTATAATAATGTATACTTATAAACTTTATTATTAATATTATTACATACCTTCCCAACGCATTCTCTTCCTGTGCCAGATAACATAATCTCTCTTGATACAAATCAATCACCCTTTGTAGTTGAACACAGCTTTCATTGATAGATTTGAACAATTCCAATTTCGCGTCCAATTCGGCGTCCGACGATATAATGCATTCATCTTCCTTGCCCCCTAATTTTCTTAGAACACTCTTTTTTGTCACCCAATATTGGTGTTGCATTTTAAAAAAAATTATACGTGTCAAATGACAGCTAGAAAATTGGCATATGTCAATAAAATAGGTTAGCCGCGCCAGGTTGCCGGATTTCTGACAACAAACCATAGACTTGCAAAACTACAAACAACATGTTGATTTGCACGCGAAAACTAATTAAAAAGCAATTTATTGTTAATACCATGCCCTTTTAGTATTTACTAAAAAAATTTTTTGCTTAAAATAAATATGTGCTCTTTTTTATTGCAATTATTTAAAAAATATTTTTCCGAAAACGCCTCCTACATTTTCTATACTCATTAGGTCTATAGTTCGGAGTTGTCAAATACCGATAAAAACATTCCTTCTAATAATGTTATTATAATATTATTAAAACTGTAACAAAATTCATTTGGAGTCTAGAAATGTGAATTTTATTTAAAACTTTTTACCGGCATGGAAAGCTAATATTTTAGTAATTGTATTAATTATATGAAAAATGAGTTCAGAAAATGAAGAAAACCTAGTAGATGATTCTGATGAATCTTTATTGGACATAAACATCAAAGAGGTATTAATAACGTAATAACCCCTTAATATTTGGTCCAATAACATTTTTTTATAGATTAACGATGTTGAATTTGATATACCACCAGTGGCCCCGCCATCCCTGGAAAGTGTTCTTTGGGACTTGGAATCAGAAGGCAGCGATAGCGCATCGTTGCACTCATTTCAAAGCATGACAGCTAAATTTCGATCCATGTTATATCATTGTGTTCTACAAGGGCTATCAGCGCAAATTACCAATGCAGGGGTAAAAATATTAGTGCCATGATTACATAAAATATTCATTTTGGTATTTTTTCCAGCAACAAGCAAATGCTGGCCTACCAACTGTAATTACAAATAGTTTGAAGTTTGTAGCCGTCGGGACATCTCATGGATATATTTTGGCTTTTGATTCTGAGCAAAAATTGTGCTGGTGCTGCCATGATGTTAGTTTACAGGACCAAGGAGCTATTTCTGCTTTAGCATTTAATTTAGAATCTACCAGACTTTTAGTAGGGTAAGACAATATTTAATATTATATATGTTTAGCCTATCTACAATGGATTTTTTATTCATTGTTTTAAGATACTTGGAATATTTTTTTGCAAATTAATTTTAAAACATGATTTTCTTGAGTTTTATTGTTTAAATTATAAATAGATTTCTTAGCGCGTTTAGAAAATATAACATATTTTTTTTTTAATTACTTTCAGATATGAAAGAGGCTTTGTTTCAATGGTGGACGCGACATCTGGCGACATAATAAGAAAACTTCCCGATGCGCATGCACCACAAACAGCAGTTCTGCATCTCCGATTTACTTTTATGAACAACTTGGCCTTATGCGGAGATTCATCGGGTTGCGTTTTTTTGCTCTCGTTTAGCCGAAGATTGGGTGTTAGAGGCTGGGACTCGAAATGCCTATTTTCTGGCGCCAGAGGGGAAGTCTGTGTTTTTGAGCCTTTGACTCAAGGATACAATATCAATTTTTTGAATAAGAATATTTTGGTGGCAATGGCTACACTCTCCAAGGTAATATATAAAATATAATAATTTTTAATAATGTGATTTTTAAACCATTAAAAATATCTGGAAATTTTTTAAAATTCTTATTTGGTTTACCAGGATGTTATGATTGTCTATATTATTTACAATTTTTATTTTCTAATGTTTTCTAAAATGTTTATATAAATATTTTTGTAATTTTCTGTAATTTTTTACTAAAACATCAACATATGTCTTTTGCGATTTTTTTTTCATAATTTGGGTTATTTAAACATTTTTTTGGTTAATTTAATTCATTTAATTTTTTTTATTAATTTACCATTCCAATTTATAATTTTGAAGTAATAAAGACTTTAAGACTTTTTAAGACACTGCATTTACATTATTTTGTGAAACTGTTTCATATTTTAAGTAATTGTAAATTTAAATCTTTCTGAAATTTTTACAAAATCTCATTTGGTCCAATAAGATTTTATAATTTTCTTTATAACATTACATATTTAAACAAATATTTTCTCATGTTTTCTAGAATAAAAAAATACATTTACAATATTTTTTTTAACTTTTTGTTATTATTTATTAATTGTTTTAAAAAAATCAACATCAGAATTTTTGCAATTTGTATTTTTGAGTAAATTTAATTAATTTGATTTTTTACCATTTTACCATTCCAATATTACAATTTTGAAATATTTAAGCGTTTTTAAATTATTTTATAATTTTGTATTTTAGGTAATTGTAAATTTAAATCTTTCTGAAGATTTTATAAAATCTTATTTGGTCCAATAGGATTTTACGATTGTCTATATTTTTTACAATTTGTATTTTTTAACGTTTTCTAAAATAAAAAAATGTATTTTTGTAATTTTCTGTACTTTTTGACTTTTTTTTCTTTTTCTACATTTTATAAAATTAAATTTAACAGTGTTTTTAAAAAATCAACATATTTTGCGATTTTTTAATATAATTTATAGAATTAAAAGAAAATTAAGTTAATTTAATTAATTTAATTTTTTTTATCACTTTACCATTCTTTATCACTTTACCATTTAAAATTTTTATGTGAAACGTTTTTGAATTATTTTGTAAATCGTTAGTAGTAGTTTTTAAGTAATTTTAATTTTTCTGGAAATTTTATAAAAAATTTATTTTATTTGAATGTTAAATTATTTTGTGAAACTGTTTCATATTTTAAGTAATTATTTATTTAATTTTTTCTGAAAATTTTATAATATCTTATTTGTTGCATTAAGGTTTGATAATTCGTCACCTGAGAATTATGGTGTTCTATCTGCATTTTTTTTAAATTGAGATTAGTCTTGTTTTAAGTCTTAAACACATTGTTCTATCTATATTTAATTGGGATAGAATTTGTACAGTTTAAGCCTTAAACTGTACAATTCCTACCCCAATTATATATACAATAATAATAGTAATAATAATAATAATAATAATAATAATGCTTTATTCATGTTGACATACAATAAGTATTTACACTCACCACAAAAAATATAATACATGATAATAATAAATAAATGAGACTAACTAATTAGCATTTACATAAAATACCTTATAAGTATAATAAATATAAGAAAAAAAAACAAGATACTTTATTTGCATACAACAGTACAATATACCTAGAGGAAATAAAAAAAAAATTAATACAAAAAAAACAAAAAAATTCATAACATATCATTATCCAGAAACTCCTGAAGGTTATAAAAGGCTTTTTCAATTAAATATAATTTTACGAAATTACAAAATGATTTTAACGGCATTTCTTTAACAATTGTTATAACACATAGATCCCCAATAGGTTATTGAATTTTTAGTTCATTTTAATCGATGAAACTCAATATGCAAGTTTTCATTATTTCTTGTATTTATATTATGCACTTGATAGATGCATAGAACAATTAATAATGAAAACTTACATATTGAGTTTTATTTATATTATATGCATCTTTAAGACTTATAACAAGACTAACCTCAATTTAAAAAAAAATGCAGATAGAACATATTATTTAAGAATTTTTTTTCTAATAGTTTCTTAAATGAAAATATAATTTTGTTATTTTCTTTTGTTATTTAAAATAATTAACATATATACATATATCATAATTTTTGCAATTTTAACAGTTCTATTTTTGTATTTCGCTGCGGAGGCTGCAGATCTAAGCGAGGCAGTTAATATGCTTTCTCCGCCGTGTTGTATGTACTTACAATTTTTTAAGCATTCATTAATAATTATTCTGTAGGTACTTCCATTGAAATTATCGAGTTTGATTATGAAGTTTGACATATTAGTTAATTAGTTATAGGATATGTACCTGAACTAATTCTACAGTAACCTATAAGTTTACATTTTCTTTGCTGATTTCGAGCTAAACGCGATAGATGTATTTTCATTATTTTACGGCGGTGTATAATAATTTGACTTAAGAACTGCGCTAAACGCTTAAAAAAATATATTTTTGTGTGTTTTCTGTAATATTTTAATTTTTTTAATTATTTATTAACGGTGTTTTAAAAAAAATCAATACAATTTTGAAATAATAAATCGTTTTTAATATATTTTGTGAAACTGTTTCATACTTTAAGTAATTTTATAAAATCCTTCTTAGTCCAATACGATTTTATTTTCTTATGTTTTGTTAAATTAAAAATATAATTTTGTAATTTTCTGTAATTATTTAACTTTTTTTCTTTATTTATTTACATTGTTTTTAAAATCATCAACATATATAATAATTTTTGCAATTTTAACATTTCTATTTTTGTACATACAGGGTGTTTCTTTTAACTTGAGACAGCTCAATATCTCGAGAAATATGCATTTCACGGAAAAATGTCTTAAATAAAAGGTTAATGTGACTAAAGGGGACATTATTTGGTGCTACCGCTAGCCATCCCCTACCCCTCCTTAAGGGTGAAACGGGGGGTAACTTTGGAAAGTCAAATGGAATGACCCGATTTTTTTCACAGAGTTTGGTAGTACATAAAAAATAAATAACTTTTATTTAAAACTTTTTTCAATTTATCAACAGATGGCGCTGTAATTCAAAATTTAAGAAAAATGTGTTTCCTTGTAAAATGTATTATTTGAAACGTTTGAAAAACAAAAATTAACATTAACAACAATAGTCGGCTATGAAAACAATTTATAACAAATGTTCGAAATGTCGTCATTCCATTTCAACACATTTTTGAATGCGGGTAATGGATTCTGGCACACAACGCGCCAACATGTCGGGCGGTATCGCCGCACAGGCGTTCCTGATCCGCTCCACCATGTCCTCCCAAGTTGTAGGAATTGCAGCGTAAACTTTTTCTTTCAAGTAACCCCACTGGAAGAACTCTGGTGGCGTAAGATCAGGTGATCGAGCAGGCCAAATTACTGGACCACGTCTACCGATCCACCGCGGTGCACCGGCCATTGAACTCCCGATCCAACACCTCTCGAGCAATTGCCGAATAATGTGCAGGACAACCATCTTGCTGGTACCACATGTTTTGGAGCCGTGCTAGTGGTACATCCTCCAAAAGGTCCGTCAGATCGTTTTCTAGAAAATTCCGGTACTTTTCGCCATTTAATGGACCGTCAATAAAGAAGGGTCCGATTAATAGTTCGCTTAAGGTACCGCACCAAACGTTTACCGACCAGGGACGCTGGTGCTCCACTTGGTGTCGAAATGGAAGGACGACATTTCGAACATTTGTTATAAATTGTTTTCAGAGCCGACTATTGTTGATTTAATGTTAATTTTTGTTTTCTTAAATTTTGAATTACAGCGCCATATGTTGATAAATTGAAAAAAACTTTCAAATAAAAGTTATTCATTTTTTATGTACTACCAAAATCTATGAAAAAAATCGGGTCATCCCTTTTGACTTTCCAAAGTTACCCCCCGTTTCACACTTAAGGAGGGGTAGGGGTGGCTAGCGGTAGCACCAAATAATGTCCCCTTTGGTCACATTAACCTTTTATTTAAGACATTTTTCCGTGAAATGCATATTTCTCGAGATATTGAGCTGTCTCAAGTTAAAAGAAACACCCTGTTTATTGAGTTGATTTAATTAATTTGATTTTTTTTTACCATTTAAACATTATAGTTTTGAAATATTAGCGTTTTAAAATTATTTTGTGAAACTGTACATGTTAGGTAGGTAATTGTAGGTATATATAAATCTTCCTGATTATTGTATAAAGTCTTAATTGGCCCAAGAGTATTTTATGATTGTGTATATTTTTTAAAATATTTATTTTTTTAATTAAAAATTTATTTCTATATTTTTGTTATTTTTTGTTATTAAATAAATTTTATTAACACTGCAGTGTTTCAAAAAAAATCAACATTTTTTGCGATATTTTATCATAATTTTTTCAATTTAAATATTTTAATGTATATTTTTGTATTTTTGAGGTAATTAAATTAATTTGATTGTTTTACCATTTTATCTTTCGTAATATGAAATTTTATGAAACTTTTATATTATAGGTAATTGTAATTTCTGTACGTCCAAGAATAAAAGTCCACTTCAGCCAGCAGTTACCCAGAATATCAACCTCGCTACCTCTAATATCATGGCAATTAGTCTCAGTGGGCAAAACCTTCCAACCAGTTTTAGCCTGGGGCAGAGGCAACGAGCTGCACTACACCCGAGTGCTGACCTACGGTCCAAACAACAACAAAATAAGACTGCTACCGCTGCGCAGCGTTCAACTGCCGTACGCAATGAACGCGCTCCACTGGCTGGGCACCAAACACCTCGCCTTGCTCGACGCGAGCGAGAACCTGCATCTGGTGGAGGTGCGCACGCAACGCGAGCTCGAAGTCCTCGAAGTGGCCGGCGCCGGGCTGGTCTACGGCTCGGCGCACTTCAAAGCGTTGGCGGTGGGGGGCGGCGTGAGCGAGGCGTTCGCTCTGGCCGGCGAGCGGGCGTGCTACAACAGTTTGTCCAGTCGCGGCGACCAGCTGCTCGTACTCGGCACCAAGGCGGTGCACATGGTGAAGCTGCGCACCTGGCCCGAGCGGTTGTTTTACCTGAGCGAGCAGGGCCGCTGGACGGAGGCGCTCAATTTGGCGGCCGACGAGGGCACCAACAGGGAGAAGTGTACTGTGGCCTTGCTGGATAGGTATCTGGAAAATTTGAACCGGAACACCGTGGATAAGGATAGCTTGGTTGCGGCTGTTAATTGCTGTGTTAAATTAGAAAAAATGTAAGTAAATGTCATTTTTATAAATATGGTCGCGGCCAAATCTGCATGGGTGCACGTCATCAACGTCATACGACGTCAAGGTCTATTCATACATGCCTATTAGGCTGGGCCGAAAAAGGCAAAAAAAAATTTTTTGGAAATCTCACTTGGCTTAGTTAAAAAAAGTTGTAAGAAGGGTACACAAATAAGCTGGTTTTTTTTCTTCAAATTTTTAAAAACAAATTTAGCCGCGCCCCCGGGGGGTTAAAATTTCTTAAAATTCAATAAAAAGTTAAATTTTGAATTTGGCATATTAAAAAACTATTAGGTATTAGCTTATTTAAGACACACAAAAAAATTATTCATATATTTTAATTTTACGCCGCGCCCCATTTTTTTTTTTTTTTTAATCGAAGAGCTGCATATTAGAACTTTAAAAGCTTTGGGGCGGGGCTTAAAATTAAAATATTAATAGGATTTTTTTGTGTTACAATTGAGTTAATACAGTCAAGTGCATTGAATCAGTACCACCCTAAGGCTTATATTCGCTTGCAGCCATTGCGAGGTGGTGGGGTGAAAATTATTGCCTTAACGTAAACAAACTTATTTGGGTATTTCTTACCTGAACCGGTATAAGATTTATTGTTTCATATTTATTTTGAGTTTTGACGTTATTTTTGTAATAATATTTTTTTTTAATTTTATCAATACCAATAGATATACTACATAATTTAGACTTTTTTAAAGTTAAACATAGGCTTTTACTACTAATTTTTATTAAACAAGTGTCAATAAACTTATTCGCAATATAATTATCTAAAATTCGTTACCCACCTACGCACGCACACCCTCTAAAAAATTAAAAAATATAAGCGTTAAAAAATATAAAAAAATTGAATAAAATATTTATAATTAATAAATTGAAAAATAATGGAATAATTAACTTAGTACCATAAAACGGGGCGACTTGATACACTTTTTGGAATATTTGAGCACACGCCGCCATCAATATGACGATTTGATTGAAATAAAATAATATTTTATATATCCTCCTACGAAAATCGTTTTTTTAAGAAAAATAGTTTTTTTTAGATAAAACAGTTTACTGTTCGGTTTGACCAACAAATAATTTTGTGTGCTTCCCTTTATTTTTTCTATATAAAGTTTAAATGCAATTTTATATTCTTTACTTGAGTCTCTTAAGTTTCGACCCTGGCTTTCTTTTATATGTTAAGTCGCCCCTGAAATAAAAAAAAATAAAATAATACGCCACTAATAAATTTGACATGAATATAAAATTTTGGGATTAGATTCTAACCGTTAGAATATGAATGCCTACTAAATTACTGTCCAGGAAAAAATATGTCAATATTAAAGCCTTTTTAGAAATCTCTGTATAAAAGAAAGTGTGTTAAAAAATTATTTTTTTTATGGAGGTGCACAACTAAATCAACAGATATAAATTAATCTATATTTTGATATTCAATTTTTAACCCCTACATTATGTATGTATTTTGGTCAAGCGCTGCAAAGAGTTTCAAGTCGCCACGGTATTTTCTTTAAATTTATCTTTTTTACCGAAATATTCAATTCTCTTGATATTTGCGATATATTTTGCCCTTCCTCATGCAAAAACCTAATTCGCATACGGGTTTCGTCTGAAATATGCCGCTGCATCGTAAATAGTTTTCAATCCATGTAAACATAGAATAAACCACAGACTGTCTGTGGAATAAACACAGGATACAAGAACAGATGGACTAAATATAAAAAACCCTGAAGGGTGTATCGCAGTGGTCTAATGTGACCTTGGTTAAGACAGAAGATACTAGAGTAGGCGGAGCTATGACTGAGCATCGCAAGCGATTTTTGAATTGCCTTGGTACTGACTTATTGCACTCAACTGTACCTTATAGTTTTTTAATAATTCAAAATGTAAGTTAAAAAAAAATGTCTTAATTTTAAAAACATTCCATCCCCCGGGGGCGCGGCTAAAATTATTTTTAAAAATTGAAAAAAATATCAGCTTATACAACTTTTTTTTAACTAAGGCAAGTGAGATTTCCTTGCCAACAAGGCTTGTAACATTGTTTACACAAGCCAGTGGTAGAATATGATAATCACAATGTATAAAATTATTTATAATCTGCAACAAACGATGCTCATGCTGCATGAGTCATGCATGATATGTCAAAATTACAAAAAAACGTCAAATATAAAATTACGCTTAGGTACTCTTTAATAATATTGAACAGTGCGCGCCAGCCTTAAGCTATTAGCAACTGGCACCCACAAAAATTACTAATTGAATGGTTTTATTTTCATAATTTCGTAAAAAAAACGTATTAAAAACAGGAAAACTGTTATAGTCCTTGCTTAACAATACGCAAATGAATGATATTTTTTATAACATATCAGAATTACTCCTTAAAAAAGCACATTTAACGGCAGTAACTTTACAATTCAAAGTTGGTTATGCTGATGTCATTATACCGCATTGATGACGTGCACCCATGCAGGTTTGGCCCTAGACCTGGTTTGGTCTAGGGGTTTGGCTGCGACTATAATTAGAGATGTTACGTAAAAAAATTTTAGTTTTTTTACTGTTTTTTTTTTCAAATGGATTTTTCACATTTTATGTTTTTTTTCAAACAAAGTATCATATGCCTTTTTTACGTTTTTGCCATTGGCAAAAAATTACGAATATCTTAGTCAAGAATTCGCGCACTTAAATTCACGAAAATTTGCAAATAATTTAAAAAAATACAAAGAGATTTAACAATATAATGACAATACATTTTTAGTATTTCTTTCTACATTCAATAAATTATGAAGTATTTTGCACTTTTTACAGAGTGATTCCAAATTGAGATAAATACACGAAATGGGTGATTCTCCACAAGATTTGGTGGAAAAAAGTTCATATGGATGTTAGATAAATAATTATTATAATCTTAGATTTCGAGATACTGGGTGTTGATAATGCAAAGAAAATTTTAGTTTTATACCATTAACAATAAACAACTAATAAAAGTAGAGTTGAAGAAATAAATGTTTCACTTTTCTGATGTGATTGTCAAAATTTTTAAACCAACTGCTTTGCTTCTCTTAAGAAGCAGTTATTGTGTCATACTTTTAGGTATGTAATTTATAAAGGCACAATAACGGCAAATTGTATCAAAAAGTTGCAAATATGATCAAAATTGCAACTTTTTGGCTTATCAGAAATTTTAATTAGGTTGTTTTAAGTCAATCAATTCCGTAAAATTACATTAAATGCAAAGTTATTACCAGATTATTGTAGAACATGTTAAAAAAAGTAGTTATTAAGTTTGTAATTAATTCCTATACTTTTCTGAGATATGATATGATATAAACTTTTCGCCACCAAATCTTGTGGAGAATCACCCATTAAATTTTTTTGCCTCAATTTTGCATCACCCTGTATACACCATGACCAAAGTTATCTGCTTATCATTGCTATCATTTCTGATAAAAATGGCGAAATCAGAAAATCAATTCAATTAAACGTCGGGTTTTCTAAATATTCACAATAATAACATTTTTTAAATAGGACATATTTTGAAAGTCAATTTAATTTGGTACAAAATATTATTATTACTTAACTACCCTAAATTTAAAAATTAATAATAAATAAGCAGTTGAACTTTCTTTAAATAAACATCAATTTTTTGTTCCAAATTAAATTCTCTTTTGAAATATGTAAAAATATTTTTTTTAAATGTTATTTTTGTGAATATTTGGAAAACTCGACGTCCAATTGTTAATTAGAAGAAAAAATGCCACAAATTTGCTAATTTAACCGACTTTAACATATTTTAGCTTTAATAATAATTCAAAGTTTAACTAATATCAAAATTTCAACTAATATCAAAATAATTAAGTACACTAGTGTAAAGAGCTCTTTTGAAAGAAATAACGATGAAAACGCTTTTTTTAAGTTTTTTAACATGTTTTTTTAATAACTTTTCATTTATATTTTATTTTGTTTGTTTAAAAATTTATATTATTTGACAAAATATTAATCTTTTTCCATCTATTTTGACAATTTACGCAATACTTTTTAACATTATTAAAAAATGCTAAATAACATAAAAATATTGATAAAAAAGTTATTATTATTTATTTAAAAATATTACAGTCCATTGTCAATTTATTAGACTATTTTTTTTTAATTTTTGTAATTTATAAAATAGTCGATATCTTCTGCCAAATATGCGTTTTTGAACTACACACGCTTTTTAGGACGATAAAACAAATTTTTACGATCACATTGATAATAATAATAATAATTATTTAACCACATGGTTCATTTATGGCAAAACATTTAAATTTGCATTTTTAGATACCTATACAATAATTAAACAACAAAAAATAAAATTAAAGTTAAAAAACGATAGTAAAACCTTAAAAAAATAATGGTAAAAAAATGTTTTTAAATACCATGTATATTATGTTATAAAATTGACATTTTTACAAAAACTTTGATTTAAACATGCTAAAATGCAAAAAGACCAAAAAGTCGTATTAAGTATTTTATGTAATTTTTTTATCATAATATTTTTAATTTAAATTGTATCGTAAAAATGTGTTTTATCGTCATACAAAGCGTTTTTAACGCGATTCTATTCATAAAATCACTCACAAATTTTCTATAATTTTCTGTATTTGTAATAAAGTCGATATCTTTGCACAAAAATACATTTTTGAAACACAAAATGATTTTATAAAAAAAGTAACATTATTTATAAACTTTATTTGACAAAAGTCTGTAAAAAAATATTCTTAACTTTTAATTTATTGTATTAACATTCTACAAATTGCAGAGATGTATTATGCAATGAACTGCTGGATGCTGTCTCAACAGATAAAAACAATGAAGACTGGTACTATACACTTTTAACCGATCATATTTGTAGCAAAGTATTAACCTACCTCTCCCCATCAGTATCTCAATCACTAGTCAGTTACATGGAGAAAAAAGACATCCAAACCCTGGAAAGCATTCTACTAATCCTAGACATAACATGTCTGGATCTACACCAAGCTTTGAACATTTGCAAAAAACACAAACTGTACAACGCATGGATACACTTGACCACGAAAACCCTGGGCGATTACGTGGGGCCGCTGATCGAGTTTCTGAGCGAGTTAACGCCCGACAACCACCGACTCGGCAACACGATGTTGGTGTACGTTTCGTCGTGCCTGGCCGGTCTGGGTTACCCCAACGGCAGCATACCGGACGCCGAGGCCTCCCGAGTCAAACACGACGTCCTACGATGTCTGGAGACCGCCCACTCGTTCAACGCCAAGCCCGACGAACCGTCCTATCCGTATTTGAGGGCGCTACTGATGTATAATACAAGGGAGTGCCTGAATGTTGTCGAGTTGGCTTTTACCGAAGCGGAGTTTTCCGGGGAGATGGGCCTGTTGCAACGTCAGCGGCTGATTCAGATACTTTTGAAGATTGTGGTGCCTCCGGAATTTTCGGTAAGTAATCTAATACTGTAATACTGTAATCTAATACTGTTGGTGCGGTAAAGAAAATATTTTAACAGTAGTTAAAAATTAAAAAAAATTGCACAGATAGATAGTCACGGTGCGTTTCAGTAGATTTATAAAAATGTCTAATTACTTGAATCTGCATGCTGATTATGAAAACTTTTTGCTTACAGGTGGATCTGATAAAAAAGTGAATTTTCGGACCACCCTAATATACACACAAAACTTATAAATAATAGATAGTTCTTTTCTCAATAGGTAATAATATTAAAATTTTACAAAAAAAAATAATTTACAAAAAACAAAAAACCTAATTTTAATTCAAATTATAATTCAGATTCAAAATAACAACAAAGACTATTATAGTCGAAATATTTTCTACAAAACTCATATTCAGAACTATTGTTATTAATATTATAATTTATCTACTCATATTGCATAATGTTTTCCGTGAATAATGACAAACAATATAAATTCCCTGCCTAACAACGAGAATAATAAACTCATAATTCACGTTGTTAGGCATCAGTGATTGGCCGATTTCAATATTCACTGTGATTTGAACCAATCGGGAGAAAGCGACTATAATAACATTTAAATTGGTAAAAAGTGAGGTTAACCATTTGACAGAGATCAGATTTAATTTATTTATTTCATTTTCATTATCTACTAATTGGAGTAGATAAAGTATAGTATTACACCCGAGATTATGCGCATTATTTACCCGAGACGCAAACCTCATCATAGCCTGCATTATTTCTCGTATAATATTTCGACTATTTTAATCTTAGTGTACTAATATTAATAAGAATAGTTTTGATATTGAATACAATATATATATTAATAATTATAATTTATAATACTAGTATCACTCAACGCTAGTATTATATTATTAATAAGAATAGTTCTAAATATGAGTTTTGTAGTTTGGAAAACAATAATTGGACTATAGTCTGTTGTTATTTTGTCTTTTTAAATCTGAATTGAAATTATGTTTTTTGTTATTTGTAAATTATGTTTTTGTTTTTTTTTAATATAATTAAGAAAATAGTTCTTATTCATGATTTTTGTTGTATTAGGGTGGTTCGAAAAAATACTTTTTTCTCAGATCTACCTGTAATATCAAAAAGTTTTATAAACATTACATTTTGATCTAAATTCATATTTTATGAGCTGACAAATCAATTTTTTTAACAATGAAAATTTTTAAATTTGTATTTTTAGCCTCCAATAAAAAAGCGCCTAGGATATGAGAAAATCACAAATTAATGTTTATGGTGTTTTTAAGCAACGACTTTACTTTATTTATTTGTTATAAAAATTAAATTTAAGCATCAAAATTTAGTCCTATATTTTTTAAACATTGCTATGTCAAAAGGTATCAAAGCTTAATGTAACGCGAGTTACTACTTTTTGTTGTTTATTTTTTTAAACCAAATTTATGAAAAAACATTAATATTTGTATAAATTTCTTTATATTTAACCTTGATCTATATTTGTTATTTAATAGTAGTTTCATTGTTAAATACGCAGAAATAATAAAAAGTGTATGTAAAGGTAAATCCTATTTTTCTTACACCTTATAGAGACATAATCAGCTTGCATATTGAAGTAACTCGACAATTTTATTTAAATCTATAAAAACGAACCGTGTAGCATAAATTAAAAATTCCACAATTTATAAATTTTTCAAAATTTATTCTTATATACTTTTTAAAAGCTCAAAAAGACATGTTTCATACTTCCCATACCATAAGTCGATTGTTTCTACTGTAGACCCAAGCAACAATTTAAGTATTTGTTACGTATATGGGACTATTGAAGAAACTTTAAAGTGTTTTGCGACATTCGCCGGTCTCTTTATATTACTCTTTCATTACTACGTTACGACTAAAGTGGGGAACAATTATTGAGTTCCAAAAAGGTAGCAAATATGTCACTAGCTACAAACCCTGCTACTATTTGGAACGTAGCTGCTACGTTACTAGAACGTTCCAATATCGTTGCTAGAGCGTTATAATTACTTTTATTATTTGTTTTTACTTCTATATTAACTGTCTTTGTCAAACTTATATTAGATTATACTATCCCTCCTTTTTTAAATGGAACCACTACGGACTTGGCTTTTCAATGTCGTCGTTTATTAAATATGTACTGGTAGTTTATAACTTCCAGAATAACAATATAATGTTTAATTAGACAGATAAATTTATAAACCCTTTAAATTTTACTGTTGAACTTATGAATTTAGTTTTTGTAAAATAAATGCGCTTCATCAATATTTAAGTATAAACAAATTATTTATTTAGTAATGTTTATAAATAAAAAAATCTTAATATTTATTATTATTTTTTTTATTTAATTATTAATACCGTCTATTACCAACAAAATTACCATTTATTAAAAAGTAAACAACCATTTACAAACAATTAAAATAATTTATTATTTACATTACCACGTGGTACTGTACAGTAAAAAATGGCCGATAAGAAGCATTTTCCTTTGAAGTAGTTTTCGCTACTTTAAAGTTTTTTTCCACTTTACGGTTGTTTTGGTTAGTACCATAAACGTTCCAAATACTAAAATAATAACTTTTAAGTTATTAACTTTGTAGTTTTTAACTCATGTTCCAGTTTCGAGATTTTAACTTGCAAAGGGACTACCAAGTAAAAATAATTATAATGTAATATTTAGGTAGCAACCGAAAGTAACTGCTACAAATTAAATTTACTTGAAAGTTTTTTTTACTTATAACACCTTTTTTAAAGTTGCAAAGTCTTCTTGGGGGCAACCAAGTTTTACTTAAATGTTTATTACTTTATAGTAACAATTTAAGGAAAAATTAAGTTTCTGTTACAAAATATTGATATTTAAAAGTTAAAATTACTTTTAAGTAAAAATTAAAGTAGCTGTTTAGTATACTTAACTAATTTAAAGTTATCACCACTTAAGTGCCAAATTGGGCAATGGTTTTTGGAACCAAAAATGCTGCTTGGGGAATCAAATGTCACAATTATTTATGTAACTGATGAAAATGATATTTAATAAATAAAATTCTTAGCATTACAAATGTTGAACACAAATTTAATTAAATAGTCCAAAATAAGTTTCCAAGAAGATCTAAACCAACATGTAATTTTTTTACTTTTAGGATAGTCAGGTTATTAATTTGGCCTGCTTTATATCCCGCCTTGTCATCTCCAATAACCTTACCACTGACGAGGACATGTTGGAAACTGTGATAAAATGTTTAACGAACGTGGTGGGTAAGCCGTTAACTATGAGGGATCACGCGGAGAGGGAGCAGGCTTGGTTGGATTTACAGAATGCGAACAAACTAAGGCATTTTAAAAATGACGAGCTTCTTAAAATGGCGCTTGATTCGAAGTGCTACAGGGTGGCGGAGAATTTATATGAACTACAAAAAGACTACGCAAACATTTTACAATGTTACTTGGAGGATGCAGTAAGAAAAGCGGACGTTTTTAACTACATTCTAACTTATATTAGCATAGAAGAAAGATTAATAAAGCAGCAATTCATAAGTAATTTTACGAAATTAGTCGAGATAGACTGTAAAAAGACTAGCGAAATAGTAAACCAACATTTCGCCGATTTTGTAGAGCAATTTACCGATATAATAGAAACCGTTCCTGATTTGCAATACGATTTTTTACGACAGCTAGTTGCTAGTGATATCAAGTTACCTCCTCACATAGCCGAAAAATATTTGGAGCAAATGTGCATAAGAAATAAGAGCGACGTAAGTAAATACGTCAAAGTGTGCACTTGCAGAGTCGAAGAAGGATTGACCATAACCAAAAAGTACGAGGTCCACGACGCGACCGCCATACTTTTAGAGCAAGGCGGCGAGTGGATGGAGGCGTTGGAACTTCTTTTGAAGCACGGCCTGATCGACGACGGCGTGAACTTGTGCATACGCGGCGCAGAGCATCTGGACAACGACGGTGCGCAGACGCTGTGGCTCACGTTGCTTCAGCACAAGGGGAACTCGCAGGCGTATTCCCTAAGGCAGTTGCTGCACGCTGCTGCGCCGCACGTGCCGCCTGCGCAGCTGTTGGAGCTCGTCTCCAACGCCAACTTTGGCGACATCAAGGTTTTGCTGAGAGGGATGCTGAGCGACTATACGCATGACGTTAACATGTTGACTACTACTTTGAAGTTATTGGGAAAGGACTTACACCATGGTAAGACATTCTTCATAGTTTTTTTTCTAAACACACCCTTGTGAATATTTTTTTCCAAAAAAGTTTTAATAAGTAAAAATAATAGTTTTTTTCTTAAAAACTCTGAATAAGACTTATTAAGTCGTAAAAAGTCATAATAGGTCTTACTAAGTCAGACTAATAGCAAGGTTTGGGAGATCTAAAAGAGTTAATAAGACTTTTAGCAGAGAAATGGCGATAAAAATAAATACCCGGAATTATTCAGAGAGGTTGTATTTGGTTATTGTATATATATTATAATAAAACACGAAGAATAGTATATTATGTATCAAGTTTGATAAACGCCATTTTAGACACGAATTTAATTTAGACACGAGCGAGCTTGCGAGCGAGTGCTTACATTAATGAGTGTCTAGAATAGTTTATAAACAAGTGAAAATGATTTAAATTAAGTATTTGTATAGAGCGCCATCTATAAAACAATAGGGAAATCTTCGATACCGCCAAATGTCAATTTTTTTTTTGTATATATACAGGGTGTCCCAGAACTCGCGCCACAGAGAAAAAGGGGGCGTGCCGATAGCAATGGAGATGCCAAATTTAAAAATAAAAAATTTCTAGGTAATAGTGTAATCGAATGAGAGCAAAAAAGAGGCAGCCAATACCGAGAGCTCTCGCCTAGGTTAAACGTAAGAGCTTTAAAAATTGCTAGGAGACGATAGAACATTGTTGTATTAAAAACATTTAAAAATCTTTTGGCCAACTGTATTTACTAAGTTGTCAAAAGCTTTCAAAAATGAGGTTATTAATCTATGACTTATACTTCAGAACGCCAATGTTTTAAAATAACGATTAGGAAAGGGCTGGGAAAAAACTCGCGTTGTCTCCCTGGCGTTGCGCCCAAACTAAATAAATAAATAATTATCATTTCAGTATAATCATCTAAAAAAAACATTATTTATAATAACTTAATTTATAACCTAATATAATATTAATGACAGGAGTTTGACAGCAGTGTCACAATGAATTGGATTCCAGTGGTCCAAATATTTTACATACGAGGGTTGCCTTTTATATTTCGGGAATAGAGAAAACAAACAACAATTAATCATCGTACATGGCTTTATTGTTTTTTAAAATATTCTCTATGAAGATTGACACACTTTTGCATGCACTTGAATCAATTTTCGAAGCATTTTTTTCACTCCAATTGAGGCACCTCCAAAACATGCATTTTGAACGCATCAACCGCTTCTAAAGACCCACACAGTCGACTGCTGTTTACTTTCAGGTTCATACGCATAGATCCATGATTCGTCACCTGATACAATGTCATGAACATGTTTTGAAGCACCGCCATCGTATTTTTTAAGCATTTCTTTTGACCACTAGACCCGAGACCTTTTTTGATCGATTCTCAAATTATGTGGGATCCAACGGTAACAATTTTTTCTGAAGGCCAAATGTTTATTTAATATTGAATGTATGCTGGTCCCACTAATGCCCAAGGATGACCCAATCTCACGATATGTCACATGATGATCTTGCATTACCCGTTCACGCACAGCATCAATATTTTTTGCAAGAACGAGTGATTTTGGACGACCTTCACGAAATTCGTCGGTGAGCGAACCACGGCCACGATTAAATTCGGAACACCACCGATATTCACTTGTTTTTTATGGCACTTTGTCGCCAAAAGTCAAATTAAATTCATCGATGCATTATTGTTGGGATAATCCACGTTAAAGTTGTAAAAATTATAGCACGAAAATGTTCACGGGTCAATTCCATTTTTTTGGCCGACATTAATTTTTCAAGTGACTGTTAATAATACTAATTGCGCCCGCACGTCAAAACGTGTTAAGTAAGAACACCGTCTAAAAGGTCGAACTTAACGATACAGACATCTGTTGTCCGATAGCATCAGCAGGTTCGGCCATTCCCGAAATATAAAAGGCAACCCTCGTATTTTTTATTATCAACAATGCAACCTAAGTATCCTAGCAATTTAAAGAATTCCCTATGGCCATCTATTGGGATTGGCTATCGTTTTTTATTCTTATCTCGCTTATCCTTTGCGTTAGACAATTTTAATTTTCAAATATGTGTTTCACGTTACTTTCGGCACGTTCCGGTTTTCTATGTGGCGCGAGTTCTGGGACACCCTGTATAATAAAACACGAAGAATAGTATTATGTATCAAGTTTGAAAAACGCCATTTTAGACACGAGCGAGCTGGCGATCGAGTGCTTACATTAATGAGTATATAAATATAAGTATTTGTATAGAGCTCCATCTATAAAACAATAGGGAAATCTTCGTTACCGTCAAATTTGTATGTTATAAACATAAGATCAAATGTATCTCTTGAAAATTGATTAAACAACAGTTTTTCACAGTGAAAGTAAAGAAAATGTTTATTAGCACTTCATGAGTCCGATCCCCGTTATATTTAGTGTACTGCCGGCGAAATTAAAAGGTCAGTTCAATGTTCAGATTTTTTCCTATTACTTTTTCAAAACTTTCGATCGATATTTTCCTTTGTTAAAATAATTACCTACATGATGATAGCTTTAGAAAATAAGTTTTTTGAATGAAAAGGATTGCTATTTCTCAAAACAATAATTATTGAGTTGTCTCCTTTTGCACTCCCACGAATTGTGCTATAGCATATATATATTTGATTTGCAAAAATTTTAAGAAGTTCGAATATAATTCATATTGCAATTTAGGGAGTTATTCTGCAGTTGCAACTGCCATGACATTGCCAAATGTCAGCTTTACCTCAAATGTCAAAATTCGCTTGATCCACTGTAAAAATCTATTAGGCGAAAATATCACAAATTGGATAAAAATGTAGATAAATATGTACCTACCTATATTAACATGTGAAACTTATTGTCTTTAAAGGTTTTCAATATTTTTTAAATTATTTGAACTTTATGGTAAAATTTATTTCCTGCTTTTAGGTGAAGTATAAATTAAAGAAACAAAATATTTATAAAGGTTTAGAAAGAGAGAACAGACCAAGTATACTTCACAAACATGTGGTTATTTTAATCTAAAAGGTTGCTTGGGTTAGACTTACCGATAAAAAATGACAATTTCCTATAGGATAAAAACGAACAAATCTATACAGTTTAAATAATGCAAAATGAAAAAAAGAAGAATTAATCTAATAATAATTAATATTGTATAAAAGGTTTAATTTGCACCTAAAATCCGCCTATTTATTACCTGTATCATCTTACCAAAAACATAAGTTGTTATTATTTCAAAATAATATACCTATATTTAAAACAGGATTAAAAATTATATTTGTTTTTAAAATTATTTAAAAATAGGTAGTATTTTCTAACTATTAAAGCCAAAATTAAAGAAACGATATTTAGTTATTAACTTGATTTTATCATGGCACCTACTAACGAAAACAACCGTAAAAGAAAAAGAACCACATCCAAAAACGAAACAACTTCTAAAAAAAGAACAACAACCTTAAATTCCTCGATAAGAGTGGGAAATGAGTACCAAGCCGAAATACCAGAGATTCAAAAAACACAATTAAGTAAGAATACGGAAGAAAAATCCTCACGGGTTTGGTTACCCACAGAAGATTCAATCGAATTGGATGAATACATAGATTTTGCCAAGACAAAGCATAATTATAGCGAAGAACAAGCTTTGGCAATGGCGTTTTTTCATCGTTATAATTATGAAAAAGCTAAGCAAGATTTGGCCAACTACGCTCCAGTTTTGGAAGAATGGACCGAAAAGGACAAAGCTGATTTTAAAAGGAACCTTAAGTTGTATAGAGGTAATTTTAAGAAAATACAGAAAATGTTTCCGCATAAAAAAATAGGGTCCTTTGCTAGGTTCTTTTTCACTTCTCAAGTGAAATATTTGTAGATAATTTTAAATATTTGTATTGCAAGTACTATTATAATATCAATAAATATTTATAAACCTATTTATTCTTACTTTGTGTTATGATGTTATGCGTGGGGAGTAAATCAGTAAAGGCGTAATACCTAAACGTAAATAATGTACGAAAATGTGTCGGTGCCCTGATATAAAAGCTTTTACTATACATTATTCAAGCTTTTTGTAAACGGGGACATTTTATGTGCTAAAAGCACTGGCAGCGTTATCTTATATAAAACTTGAGTAAGAAGTATTAAAATATTACTTAATTCGGTTTACCACAACCTCTTAAAGTGTAAGTAATTAATAAACAAACTAAATTAGTATACGGTATTAAAGTAAAAATGTACTCTCTTAAAATTCTGCTATTTGAATTAGTACCGGCATTTTTTACTAATAAAATGGTCGTTTTCACTTTTAAATAGTTATTTTTTACTATGTAAATAGTTAAAGTTTGACTAATTTAAGAATAGTCACCATCTTTGACTATAAATGCATATACAGGGTGTTTACGGTCTAGGGGTCGAAAATTGAACCGGCGGTGTAAGGTAATAGTCTAAGAGCTAGCAACGTTTTCGAGAGAGAATTTTATAAAGCTGATTCTTTAATATATATTTCCCTATGCTCTCTCGAACAGCGTGCGGGCTACCTGGCAGCCGGTAAACGTTGCGTTTATTACTGCGCATCACACCTTTACAGGTAAAAATATTAAATTTTAAATAATTTTAAGACATTTTTTTTCTTTTTCACTAACTTTTAGACACTATTAGAAACATGAATTTCTTAGTGCCAGACATTTTTGTTATTGACAATAATGTACCAGATGCTATTTTTATAAACAAAAAAAAATAATTTCAAACCATTTTAGTATGGCTGTAATTTTAATATTATTTTATTTATATATAAATAAGTATAAAATTAATTTGCCAGACATTAATTTGGTTGTGTACTCAACAACCAGACCGATTTATTGCTGTAGAGTGCCGCTGCATTATGTCAATTGTTAAAGAGAGACAGCGGCAAAGTAGATAGGCGGAAGAGAGACAGGAATACATCACGCTGTTAAAAGTATTCAAAGTAATTTTTTATTTTTAATT